AAATTGCTTTTCTTGAATTTTTACAATGGTTCCATAGAAATTTAAAATATTTTCTTTGAAAACTACACAACAACATGAGAAATGTCTTCTCTTGTCTTGCACGAGAAGGGCAAAATATCTAACCGATACTACACTGATAACTTGATCACACTTTGCAATTCGCTGGTTGGGGGCTGAGGCTTCCCTCTGTGACTTTGCTGAACTGATGTGTTTCCCTGAGAAACAGTAAGACGACTAAAAACATTCATTTCATTACGGGGCCGGCTTGGTGGGGAAGTAGGAGGTGACAGACTAGCCTCTGGGGCTCCAGAATCTGAGCTACAAGAAAAAAAGAACATCTTCTTTAACAGGTTATGAATGGTTAGAGAAGTTAAATGTAACATGCCTCAAATGTTAGATGCTCTTTTCTTAAGCAAATAAATAAATAAAATTATAATGCTAGCTAGCTACAGATGTTTCCCAGAGAAGGTAATAAACTTAGACTGCAAACTGCTGCAGAGTGCAAGGTGGCACAACGTTCAAAGTTTATGTGCTAACATTGAAAGCTCCAAGCAGAAAACACACATGTGAAATGAAATTCTTACAAAACTGCGGTTTCTTAGAGAAATTGATGCCTTCCATTAAAAAAGAGTCATTTACAAATGCTCCAAAGGACATTTTCTCAGGGCTCTGCTCCTGAGTTATTTTGTACAGAAAAACACTCTGGAAAAAAAAAACCCACACACAGCATTTGAGCATTGAACAATTTCACTGCCAACAATAAAAACAGTCCTAGAATTAAAGAAATAAAAAAAAAATACAGATTTATTTTTCAAGAAAATGTACCCAAGCTTTGAATTATTTCCGAGAAAATACATTTAAAAGAATCTTACAGTTTTTGTTCTTTCGCCTTTGTCTTTTCCATTGTTTTCTCATAAGCTTTTCTCTTTGCTAAAGGTGAAGGCTCAGGTATCTTCTTCTCTGGCAGAGATGCCTGTCTAGAGCTAAAGCAAGAGGAATCATTACCTTACTTTAAGGCTCTTTACAAACTTGCTTTTCTTACATTAGCTGTCATTCTCCCACTCAAGTTTCAAATTTCAGAATGTGTTGAGTCTACTATTGTCTCTCTTGAATCTACGGGCTCCAAATTTGTTCTCACATTTTAATTTAATAAACTTGGTGTATTTTTCATCTTTCACAGTTCATCAACATATGAAGAGGCAGATACTGAATATGCAAAGGAGATCTACTAATTCAATAACAAAAGAGACTGACTAAAAGAAATACAGCAGAGTATGTATCTCAAATTCAGACTGTGGAGAAGATGGAAGGTCTGATTAAGATCTAAAATTTCAGATTTCACAACTTTGGTCTACAATAGACCATTTACGGATGTTAAGAACAGAGAAATCAGGATGGCACTTACATATGAATTAAACTTTGCATTAACATATTCATGGTTTAGTATCAAATTCAAAATTAGGAAGTGAGAAAAAGTATTTCCCATTGACAGCCTGACTTATAAGTAGAAGCATTGCTTCTCTTTGTCCCCTCTTCCCTTCTTCCTTGCTTTCCATCCCTCATTTGTGTCTAGTTCTTTATCTGAAATAATTCCAGTTCACAGTCACCATGGTCTTTCTCCTAACCTTTTACTCCCCACTAAAAATGGCAAAAAGATCAAGAGTGCAATATTAATGCTGACACTCAAGTGTTATCATTTCACCACAGTCAGATGAAAAAAGAAGGGAATCTGGATGGTCTCCACCCTTCTGAACTCCCGTTTCTCACTAGCTGGGCAAACAGAAATGCAACATTTGCTTTGGTTTCTCATTTCTTTGTGTGTTTGGAAGTTGTTTCTATGAATGTAAGGACCAGAAACGCTCACTAAAAAGAGAGAAAGCAGATTCTGAAAGTGCTTTTGTGCCACACAACTTTATTAAGCAGACAAAATTCAGTTGCCAGGCCACCTGCCTGACATGGTTACTAGCATCTGGTCTCAGAGCTCTGCAAGCACTGGATCTACACAGCTGCAAGTTCTCTGCATGAGAAAAGCTGTATCAGTTTCCCTTGAGAGGAAGTCTGTGATATATAAAATGCATCTAGGGACTTGCATGCAGAATAACATGACTTAACAAGGACAGCACAAACAAGAACAGCTATTTGACTCAAGTAGCTGAGATGGACTGTCTCAAGTGAGCACATGCACACCGAACACAAGCCCTAATTGGAAGGTGAAGGTCATCCCTGTAGGATCTAGTGCCAAGAGCTGCGTGCAGACCCTAGAGTCCCCCCAGGGTCTTCAAGAGACAGGAAAAGGAGGACAAGTGACAACCTGTCTGGTTTTGCACAGAAGCCTAACAGTTAAAGTACACAAAAAGATGGGGAAGGTGGCCTCAGTTCTCTCCTCAAGGCCAGACCACCCATTTTTCTGCAGGCTCCCTTACCTCTAGGCATACCCTGCAAAGGACATAAAAAGAGGAGGAATAGGACACACTCCCTCTCTCTCTTTATGCTGGAGCAGTATGCATTTAGGAATGGAAAAGTCCTGGGGTCACAAAGCAAATCCTATGATCAACCTGATAGCTAGACCTGTCAGCAAGGGTGACAAACTTGGGTTATAGTCTCCACCGCCATGGTTGCCTATGTGTCTACTGTGCAGCTACTAGATTAAATAAACCACACCAGAAACTGGAACCCAAGCTCCTCTGCCTCACACCAGCATCCTGCATACTCAGACATGGAGCCAGCTCCCTCTTACTCACTCTCTACCTGCTCTTTGAATCTTCCATCTTTGACTCCACAATGGCACATCCTCAGAAGAAGGTGTAAAGAGCATGATCATATCATGAATTCTTTCTGAAAGCCTGGAAATGCAGGTATTATAAAAATGCAGTGGTCTTGCTGGAATGAACTTCCTAAGCATAGATGTAAAAAACAGGTGTATGATGTCAAGGACCAGAATGAAAAGGTGCAAGACACACACCTAATTACAGATTTCTGGTGACCTTTTAGATTTCCCATGATATCAGAGACACTGAACAGAGCTGGCACAAGGCCTACAGGAGAGCACTCTACTCTGAAGAGGCTACGTAGATGAGTTGAGCACTAGCTATCTTTGTAAACAGAATTCCAACCAAACTGTTGCCCACATGCATTTAGGTGCCTCCCTGAATCATCACAGATCTGGAAACCCCTCAGTTTTCTCAGAGTCATGCAGTTTGTACATATGCAGACACCTAAGTTTTCACCTAAGCATATAATTAATTTCTGTCACTTCCAGGGAACCCATATTTTGGATCACTGTTACTGCTTCTACATCCCTGAATGCCACTTAAGTAAGTGGCACAAGGGAAATAATGTTTATTGCAGATAAGACCACATTCTGCTCCAGAAGAAAGTATTTTATTATAAGAGATATGATGGCACTACCGGCTCATATAGGAAGGGCAGATGGCTCACAAAGACAACTTTTCTTCAACAATGACCAGTGATCAGCAAAACCAGCAATACTGTATAAAGTATACTGAGTTCTAGTTTTGAAAAAGGCTCTCAATTACAGTAAGGAAGTCACTGCGGACTGACTGTGGGAATTTTTGACCACCTATCTTCTAAAATATGATCGACAACAAACCAAAATATATGCGAGGTCTACTGCTGATTGAATTGATTTACTGACAGCACATAACTCTAACACTCACAGAACGCACTTTTTGGAAAAATCCTATTTTGCCTCATTGCTGGCTCACTTTTACAAATGGGTACACTCTAGAAGATGGAGTGAGACAAAAGTTGGTATTACCTGAGTCTTGGATGCCAGGTCATAACACTTGATCTTTTAAATCTTGAAGCTTCAAAAGTCTCTAGTGATCTCACACTAACTGCTGAAACAAGTGAGTTTCTTCACCTATCCTCACCCCCAAGAGCATTCTTTCCAAGCAGATTCTACTTGTAAAATGCACTGAAGCCATCAGCATGGGTTAATAATTGCTGTCAGCAGTGTTTCATGATTGCCACCTCAAGCACATGCCAGGAATACATAGTAAAAAAATAGAAATTGCAAATGTACATTAGATGGAGACTGCTGTAAAAGTATTATGCAAATAGGACAGATGGATAGTGAAAGATGCCTCATTCCAGAATCTGTAACATGAAGATAGCTATGGGACACAGTTTTTCCATATCACTGAATGTGGCGAGTGCACTCAGTCTATGCATGAGTTTGTGCAATATAGGAGTTAGTACCTAAAAAGCCAAGAAAAGGGTCTCTAGCCCTGAATGGCTAATAACCAACAGTTATTCATAGTAACCAACAGTGATACTGGTAGATACAAAAAGAACAACAAGAGCAAGTGAAAAAAAAGAAAGTGCATGTGAGAGAGACCTGCTGGCCCCAAAGTAAGGAGACAAAAATAGTATTTTTAGTTGTATTTGGCATCAAGTAATACTTTCAAATAGTAAAACTGTTCTGCAGGTAAGTGCATCCTGCAAATATAAAGGATTTTTGAGGAGTCATAATATCTAAATGTTTCCTTCAACTTTACACTGGCATGCTCTATTATTGTATAGACTTCTTAATTTTAAGCATGGTCCACACAAGATGACTCACAGAAAGATTTCACCTAATTGTTAGGACCATATACAAATACTATTACTAAATTATATAAGGTTTTTGGATTGGGGTTTTGAGTTTGTGGGTTTTTTTTTTTAAATTTAAACTCTGCTGTTCTAAATATATTCTCACTACCTCCCTAGAATGTGCATTTCCCATAGCACTAATAAAGCAAAGTATCCAAAGTACTAGATGGATTTTTCCCACTAATTAGAAACAGGGCTACAATAATTTTACTAAAGCAGCTTAACAGAACTTATATCTCCCATAAGAAACACGTTACTTGCATTTATACTTTCTAGAGTGGTAATGGTAGAAAAGGAGGAGCTTTGTCAGTATTTAGTAAGCTTCAAGGATATCAATCTCCTTTGTAAAGTTAAAATAATAGATTACAAGAAATTGGCAACATGCATTTTTTAAAAGCAAAGGATAATTAGTACAGCATGGCCAAACTTACATGCTGCCTATCTTAGAAGGTAAGCCAGATGGTGGGGGAATAAACTCTCTGTCCCTAGTAGAAGTATCATTCGTGTCAGCAGCCATCCCACTTTCTTGGGTTTCTGCAACTGATGCAAGAGGGCCAGCCAAAGTAGAGTCTGCAGCACTAATGTCAGAGACTAAGTCGCTGCTGTCTGCATATAGCAATTCCATCTGGGTAGTGGTCCTCCGGCGGGCCTGGAGACAAAAACCAAGTTGCAACTTAAACGTGTCACAGTATGTGTCAAGAACACTATATTTAAGCTTATCATTAGCTGGTAATTAGCATACACCTCAATTCACTTGGCAACTCCTTTGGAAACTCAATCAAGGAGCTCACCTCTGCTCTTTGGCAACATTTCAGAGGAGGCAAGTCAAATTCAACAGCATGAAACACTGATTTGACAACTGGTTTCCAAGGATACCCTTTCAACCAACAACAAGTGCCTGTCAATACAACAGGAGTACAATATTACTCTCCTAAGGTTTATCCAAATGAAATATTATAAAGAGGAATAAAGCAAAGTGTGAATTCTTACACACTGATGCTTCTTCTGATATAAAAACTCTGGTTCTTACTTAGTTTGTCACTTCAAAAATACTTTAGGCCAACATGAATTGAGATTCACTCAGCGTTTTAACAATTTGAAAAATGATACAAGACTTTACTCCTTTGTGAGCTTTTGTGCAACACAGTCATTCTTAAAAAACTGTTCATATGTTAGGCGTAATGGTGCTGTGAAATTAAGCTCTATTCCTCAGGGAAAGGAAGGCCACTGGGGAAGACAAAGGTCCAGTCTGAACAGAGTCATTACAAAAATGACATGTCTGTTTTATGTCAACATTTTTAGACCAAATAGTTTACCTGCTCAAGGAGCTGCACACCAATGAACGGTACCAATAATGCAACCGCCAACCTAGATATATTCCTCCAAACCCAACTGCAATTAGAAGAGTGGAGGCTAAGTTTCTATTTACTTTGCAAACTTGGTTTATGCTCCTGTGAGCATGTTTCCAGCTCCCACTGCCATTAATATTAAACTGCAGCCAGCCTAGATATATTCCTCCAACATCAACTGTAATTAAGAGCCTGGAGGTCAAACTTGGTTTTGTTTTATAAACTTCCTTTAGATTGCTATGACCACAGAAGCAAATTGCAAACAATATGTTCATTCACAGTTCCCACTGGCATTAACATTAAACTACAGCCTAACTAATACTAAACTGCAAATCTAATCCAGTTTGGAGTGCTAGTAATTGAAAGAATATATCTCTTTCCAAAATAGTAAAAATTCAACCACGAAATATTTATAAAGCATATTTTTATCACTGCTTCTCAGAGAGGAGTATCACACAAAAGCATATTACATACAAGTCACATGAACACTACATCAGTTCACCTTTTGCATGTCTTAGTTCATTATGGTCTCTAGAGCAGAGCAAGAGCATTCTCCAGAAGGTGCCATTAAAGTACGAATTATTATAGAATCACAGAATCATTTAAAAGATGCGCAGATGAATTATCAGCATCTTTGTACATCCTACCTTGCTTTTGGGTTTGACTTCACCACAAAGCTTCAAAAGATCTGAAGATAATGAACTGAAAGAAAAATTGCATCATAGTTAAAAATAGTCATATTTTTGCAGAATACCTATTTTTATTTCATTCTTCTTTCTACTGAAATTGTGGGCAAAGTGTAATGAAACAATGTCAGAGTATCTTCTAATGGATACATGATGTGTTATATAAAGAGGAAATTACAGTAATTTTCTAGAACCAGATCCTGCTACCTGTTAACAAAGATTGCTCACCTTCCTTCTGTCCCAGGACTATGCAGTGGGGCATCCTCATCAGTACTATCTTCCAAATTTTCTAGAAAAATTTCCAAAAGAATAATGTTAGTCTGTCTACAACAGGACATGAAGGTTTTAAGTTCTACACAAAACAGCTCAGACAACGTCAAATGTGAACAGCACACAAAAGGCATGGATTTTTCAAAATACCTTGACTATTTGCTAGCCAGTCCTCATTGAATTTTCCTGGTATCTAAACTAAGTTTTTTCATACAATCTAAACAAATCATACACCTAGGCATACTGTGCCAAATGTGGTCCTCTATCTATTGCAGCAAAGCAACAGGGATGACAGAAAACCAGAAATAAATTCTAGAAGGAAATCTGGAAGAAAGAAGATAAAGCAAAAGAAATTAACTTCAAGACATGGAAGAGACAGGATGTAAATCAGTGGACAGTAATGATGTCTCCTCCTCCTCTTTTTTTTGCAATCTCCTTGCTTTAAGACATAATCAACTTGGTTATAATAAAAAAAAATATATTTCTCATTAGCTAGCAAAAGCTAAGGCTCATCCTCAGCTTATATAGAATGGCACCATTTGGGCTGACAAGAAGCAAGCACTTTATTAGTATATAAGTATTTAAGTTTCAAAACAGGATGATGCCACCATTTAATACCATAGAACTCCTTCCTAAAAAGAGATTAATTGTATTGAAGTTAATTGTAAAATGAAGCTGTTCAGTAGAAATGCTCCTGAAGTAAAATGGGTATGCAAACCTGCCCACAAAAGACAAAACCTGCATGCACGTCACACACTAACATTGTTAATCTGATGTTTGACATGTCTGCATGCAAACAGTGCAAAACATTACGCTGAGACAACCAGTCTACGGCATACGTACAATCAATTCCAAACTGTTGGGAAACCAAATCCCTCAACTTTCACATTATTCTAATAATACATTTTAGGCATACCTTAAGAACATAGGTAATACATTCCTGCAAGCAAAGTCCTTATTTTTGAATATACTCATGAAATTTTAAGGATTAAATAACCTTCTAATGACATTCCATTACATCTCTTCTTTATCATTGGAGACATTTATTTAATTTCTGCCAGAAAGCAGATACCATTTGTAATGCACAGAACCAATACATTTGGTACCCATATTAAAACAGGTTTGTCCATGTATATGCTTTAAATGCAAGTTTACGCTTTGGAGAAAGGGAGGAAAGATAGATAGTTTCCAGTTGAATTCTGAGAAGGAGTGAAGAAAAGGAAAATGCTGCCTTCTTGTGTAAGCTACATCTAAAAACATTTCCTGAAAAAGTCAAAACTGTACATCAATCTAGCAACAACACCAGCGATGCCCTTCAGAGGTACTCAACTTCTGTATTACTTTTAACAATGTATCCTTAATTATCAGAAATACAACAATATTATAAAGAAAGCAGGGTTACAGGAATAGTAGTCTGAATTTTCTTTTTTGTTCCATCCTGGATTTGAGCCTGTATTAAAATCTTTTCTATACACATTATTATTCTGTGTCTTCTGCAGAAGAGGGGATCTAGAGTACTGCTCCTACTAGCAAGGCACAAAAGCAGCATCAATAAAATAAATGCACTTTAAAAAAATATAAGAGTCATTAGGGTGACGTTACTTCATCCCCTTCTCATAAAGAACTTGCGATCAGCTTTTACAGGTAACAAAGTGTGGGATGGCCACAGAAGATAGGATTTTATTCGTCGGCTCACACTTACATGACCTGACACATATTGATATTTTTCTGCAGTTTGTCTGCAATTCAGCACAAGACGACTGCACAAAGCCCCCAGGTAGAAACCAGCACACAGAATCAATAAAAAGAATGAGAAGAGGTAGAAGAGCCAGATTCTGCAAGAAGTCTTGAGCAAGAAGAGATGAAAGGAGCAATAAAGTTAGTAAAAGCAGTACTGCTTGCGAGGAGCAGCAGAGATGACTGCTTATAAACCAATGACTGAAGAACAGTGGAGAGCTTTTCTGATGATTTGTCTTCATACTTGTGCAGAGGCAACTGGACAGTACCAGTACAATGCAGTACCAGCACAGTTCATCCAGAGGAAATGACGTTCGACCAGCCCTCTCAAGATCTGCACATAGATGGTTGTGAGTCTTATCCATGACCGTCCAGATGTCACAGGCGGGAAGGGAAAGCAGCTCCCACAATTCTTCAGGAGTCACTCCAGCAACACTCAGGACTCGTTTTCATGGTCACTAACTCTTCACAAGAGCAGATAGGATAGTGAATTGCAGATAGTTCATGCACAAACAGGGTAGGTGTGCATTCAAAACCCATTCTGAGGGTCAAAACCTGAGCCTGTGATGTACTTTTCTGCAGACTGAACCTTTTTCTGAAGTCGATGCTTGAATGAGGGCGCACAACTACACTGGGGAATGCCCAAACTTTTTCAAGCCAAGTGTACTCATATGGCTAAGAACTTTTGAAGATACCAGAGCTGAAAGTAGGCATTAAGAGAGTGGTTCACAAGCACACTGGAAGTATAACCCCTCTGCTTGGGATGGGGCTGGCTGGCTACAGCCACTGAACTGTCAGGCATCCTGGTGAAATTGGTCTCGGGATCTGCTGCCACCCACACTTCCATCTCTGGGAATCATGTGAGGTTACCAGGGAGCCCATGCACCAACTGCTGACCAACTGGCAGTCCCAGCCTCAAAGCCTCACTCCAGCGGTGTCTGAACTCCCTGCAGCTCAAAAAGTTTAGCCACTAACGAGCTACAAAAGACAGACCATCAACAGTTTGGATTTCAGTGTGGACTGAAGTTAGTACGGCATATTCAGCCGAGATACACCCACAGTGCAGTTTCCTTCCTATAAAGTCTTATTATAGTCCTGAGTGGCTTAGGTGTTTCAGCAGCCTCAGTTCATGCTTGCAAACTGTTAAAAAAGCTTCTTTAATGAGATACTCTACAAAAATTTTGAAGATAGAGCTACTGTTTCAGTACATTTAACAAGTGTCTTTTTGCTGCTTCAGATGCTGTTAATAAGTAAAAGACTGTCCAGAGCTAAAGAAAATGCAATGCTAACTTCCTGGCTGGAGAAACATTGCTCTCACTCTAACCGGGGTGAACACACACATTAAGGGTCTATTTTAGATACACTATAATATTAATAACCACTGCTGTTCCTGAATAAATACTGGCTGTATGCAGCAAGATGCCCTGTCACAGGTCTTGAGGTGTCACCTGTCAGGATGCTGGCAAAGTTCTCACCAGCTTACGCTAGATGGTGATCTATACACTTTCAGGCAGTCTTGTGCTCTTGAAATGTTTCAGGTGCCTACGCAAAGTATCACAGGACAGCATAATGGGATTAGAAGTAACACAAGACAATACAAAAGGAATTGTTACTGACATAGGGAATATTTTTTTCATGTTTCAAACAGCTGATTTTGTGGCTAGGAGCAAGAGAGGGGAGAAAGTAAGTGTAAGTTATTTGGGAATCATTTAAAAGCAACATCAGACCCATCTCAAAATCAGTGAAGTTAGTAAATTCACTGATTGAAAAAGTGAGATTGAAAAAGTGAGATATAATCTGGATTCTGTACAATATTTACATTACAAAACGAGCTATCTGCAAAAGGTTAAAAATTATCTGCATGTTAATTACTTTTCCCCCCCACACACCTAAAAAGATGAGCAGAATTTGTCACAACTACAGCAGTAGTATATCACAAAATAGCTTTACGTAGTCTGAACATACTATAGGTTTTTAAGCAGCAAGTCATAAATTTGAAATACAGCTCTGCTTACTGTGTTCACTTCTTATCTGACAAAATCTAACATGAGTTCTATGGGTGGTTTCACAAAGGAAGAAATGCTCTGTAAGCTCATGATAATGAGTACATTTACAGAATAGTTCATGCAAGCTTCAGACACTCACAAATTCTAAGATGCACCAGTTAGTGAACATGAATGAATTAGTAACTCATGCAGCTGTACAGTACACATAAAGCTAAACATACTTACCCAGCGGTATGCTATCTAGGTCTGTGTAAATAACAGCAACAAGGAAACAAAAGCAACATTCCAATCAAAACATATCCATTTATGAAAAGAAATAAAACAAAAGTACCCAAATGTATTCTAAATTTTTCTTACTATAATCTCATGAGAAGTAGAATAGATGCCGTAACAGACATATGATGCCACTTTCAAAATCACTAACATATGATGATTGAACAGGATTGCATATTTAGAATTTCACATTCAGAACTTAAAAACATACCAAATTGTAAATGCATAGTCTTTTGTAAAAATAACAAACAGATTATTTGAATTTAAGAAGTCTCAATAATAAAATATTTCCTACATTTCACTGCCAAGGATATGTACTTAAAAATGACATACAAGTACGTCATTTGTGAAATAAAGTATAACATGTTAAAATACAGCATCTATTCAGAAAAGAAATAGCCTAGAATGCCCAGTACAGCATGCATGAAAGGAAAACATGACATGCACCTGACCGTTCAGAATACAAGATGACAAAATTACCTTGCAAAGCATGACCCAGCAAAGCGTCAAGTTCAGGATTTAACTCAGCTTTTTCTTTCAGCATATGAAACAGCAGTTGGTTTTGAGTAGCACTAGTAATTTCTGTCTGCTTAAGGCGTCCCTCAAGAACTTTGATCTGAGCTTCTTTCTGAGCTGCTTGGAGACCCTAGGAGAAAGATAGATAGATAGACGACAAGTGCTTTATCACAACTCTTTTGTTACAAAATAAGAGTTGCCCAGACTTTTTAAAAACTACGAACACACATTGTAACCTTCCTCTCACATCCTAAAGATCAGGTGTGAACTAAAGGTCTTTTTTAAAGAAAATACTCATTAAGCATTTGTTTACCTTGCATTCCTCAGACTCTCCTTTGCAAATATGAATCTAGTGGCTAAGTTGGACACGATTTGCAAGTACAATTCATAGACTCTTTGCATTTATTTAAGAGTTGCAAGCATTTGAAAAATCAACCAATGGTTTAGTTGGAATTTTTTAGTTGTAGAAAATGTAGCCAAGGAAATTTACAGAGAATGGTTTCCAAATAGGAGAAACAGTAGGGAAAAATAAAGGTTCAACACATCAACACATCTTCTCAAAGACTTGTAGGGTAACAGAGGACTTTGAGTGCTAGCACTTGAGAAAGAACTGTAGTACTATGGCCTTACACATTAGATTCTGATTTTATCATAAACCAAAACAACAATGGACATTTTGCATGTGGAAACAAACAACAGAATAGAGAGCAGGCATAACCAATTTTGCAAAAAACCCCATACCTTCAGTTTTTATACACGATAATTACTTATCAGAAAGAGGAGAAACACCTTCACATAATGGAGCTTTTTATCACAATAAGGAGAAATTGTCAGAGGCACTTTTCTCATACTAACTCTGCTGCAAGGAATCAGGTATGCATTCAACCCACCCAAGGGCTAGGGCGGAGGGGAGGAAAATCAATACTGAAATTAGCAGAAGCCAATGTGATTGTTGGAATTTTATTTTTTTTAAACTGAAAAAAACTCGAGCTCTTTTGATTACCTGCATAGTGATGAATCACGAACGCAAAAAAAGAACAGAGAATTGGTCAGTGGGACTGATCCAAAAGCCCATTTCAATAGCCTTGAAATCCTTCTTTTGATTCAATGACACTGAGTATGGCCACCAAACAGGAAGAAAAGCAGCACGAAGAGCATATGATACATATGTGCACAGGGTTATAAACTGCCACATACTCATTTTGAAAATATCAGTCCCAAAGGGTTTCAGAAAAAGCCCCTATTGCTGTACTCAAAAGTAGAAGTCTGATTAAAGTATGGCAGGCATCAATATATACTTTAAAATGAATTTTTTTAAAGGCTTGTATTTTTCAGGAAGTGGCTGAGCCAGTCTTTTAAAAAATGATCCTGAGCATTCTTTAGGAGCTTGTTGGAAAACATAGAAAGAGATTTATCTGATTACAAAAAGCTAGTGCTCTTGTAGGAACAACAGGACATCTTTAGTACAGTGAAGCAGGCTCTACTGGGGGTTGAAAAACCAGCAACAGGTTGAAGGGGACAATCGATCTCAAGGGTCTTCACACTGAGAACCAGCATGACTCAGTAGTGTTGACCAGCTTTGCTTTGTCTAATGCATATTAGTCAGTCTTTATGTCAGCACAGCTCTGCTCCTGGTACACGGCATAGTCCTGGCACACACGTAGTTCACTTAATGCATTACCTTATTGATACCCATCGTGAGGAAGTGATCAAGCAAATATCGAGCTTCTGTCAAAGTGCAAGCATTAATCACTGCTGTTACATCCAAGGTCTCTCCTTCTTCCTAAGTGTGCAACAATAAAAAGTCAGATTGTGAAAAATGCCTTTTTTTTAAATCATAGAAAACAGAAAGAGTGAAGATACTCTAATATCACCCAGTTCATCCCCTTGGTACCTCTAAACCATGCCTGAAAGATTTCTTTTCCAAACTATCCCCAAAACTCCCTACAGTACAGACTCTGCAGCCTTCCCAGTCTCTTCCAGTGTTTCAGTTCCTTTCCCGTTAGAAAGCTCTTACAACCCTCCAACTCAGTCCTTTCTACAAGTTAAGCTATTCACAGCGAATGCAGAAATGAGTGCATTTCTTAATACTCTACAGTCTTCATGTATTTGAAGACTTCTCCTCCTAGTCTTCTCCTCATTTTCCTTCCAATTATTCTCAGTCAGTATTAAACATGCTGGTACCCTTAAGAATTACTAAGTCTTTTGTGGTGTTCACTACTACTTTATTGGTTAAGTCCTGTAACCTTGCATTATGCTGTCGAAAATTCAAGAAACTCTGGTGTAAGTAAAATAGTAGAAGCTGCTGGCAATGTAACATGCATTAAAGCACAGATTAGCCCAAGGTGGGAGAGGGAGAACTCAAGCAGTGTCATATAAAAATATTGATAAGTATTACAGTTCAGTCTTCATGCTACCATGTACCAAGAGACCTAGGAGATTGTAAGTCAACCCTAAACAAGCAACTTGGCTTGAAAACGCTCTTTAGTTATAGAAAGCCACTGTTCCATAATAGAAAATACACTAAAATGCAATATAAAGAAGTTACATAACTTCTCACATACAAAAATATTTAAATACATTTAAACTATACAAAAACAATACAAGGGAGTGGAGGCATAACAACAGATACAGGAAGAGGATACGAGCTGTTCACCTTCAGTCCTAAGAATTATATTAAATGCCAGCAGAATAGAAAGCATCAGCTTTGACATTTAGATGTTTTGCAATCTTAAGTTGCATTACGCTACTGACACAAAAACTCAGATCTGAAAGTTCAGTTGTATAAACACTCTTCATTTCAAATTTCACCCAAGTTTTCACCAATTTTTACTTCCTGGTTCAATAATTATACAGTCAAAACAAAATTAATTTCTAAATGAGAAGATCTTCAAGGCTAACACAGTTGGTTTTTTCTTTTCTCCATTTTACCACTTTTTGCATTAATATCTGACCTACCTTTGCTTCCTCCATTTGCATAATGTTTGCTTGGCAGTCAGAAATGCTGTCATTAATGTAGTCTATGTTCGCAGTTAGTGATTCCATCTCTTCATTTATGTTTTGGACATTTCTATCTGCTTCACTGCTACCTCCATCCTTGATGAGCTTCTCCCTTTTTTTGGAAAGCTTTTCTCTTCTTTTTGTAAGTTCTTCACGTTGCTATTTTCCCCCAAAGACATAATATTACATAAAAAGAAATTATTAAACACTTAGTGCATTGAAGCACCTTTTTGTTTTGTTTTCCTTTCCTTGTTATACTTTAACTAACATGTCATGATTTCTACAGAAAGAAGTTACACAGGCAAATATATTAATGTATTTCTGCATGATCCCATTAATGTGCTTTTTATTTTTTACTAAGCACAGCAATCCCATGGTCCAAATGCTTTCTGGAGTTGTTAAGAGCATCTTCATTGCCTGCAATGGATTCCAAGTCACTTTGCCTATGCCACCATCACAGCAATTCGTTTACAACAAATGTAAATGCATTGCTCTCTCTTTATTTAATATGATGATACAGCCAACAGTGCATAGTCGATCACCCACCGTAAGTAACCTGTTCATATCTGCCTCCATATTGGAAATGGTCATCCTCTGCATAATGATATCAGTCACTCTGCGTTCAAGTAACTGCCACTTCATCCTGGCCGCCTTTGAGGAATAAACTCTGCTTGTCATTGCTTTCCGCTGATATTTCTTTCTGTGATAAAGTCAAAAGAAACACACAGCTAAGTCTAAAGTTACACATTTGAAAGTTCAAGTGATGAGGCCAGAATATTTTTCACAGACAACTTAAAGATTTCTTGCAGAATTTCTTGCAGTTTTTCATTGCACCAGACAGTTACCCAGACCCAGCCCTGAAGTCTACTGCACTCTAATATATTGCATTTGAAAAACAGGTATCAAACACTGTGGCATCTTGTATGATGCACCATTGAAATTGAATGCCACCTAAGAGTTGTTCCCTATTTAACAAGGAGATCTGTTTCAAATCACAGCGGAAGATCATCAGTAAGCCTAATACATTAAATTGCTTTTTCCAACAAGTTTTTGTTTGGACTTAAGAACACTGCAGGCATTGGACCACCAAGGACATTTCTCTTTAGTAACAGATTAACTGGACTTTGAAATTTTGGGGTTTCTTAGTGTGACTTGTGCTTTAATGCCATTTTATATTATTCCACACTGTCTTAAACCCACAAAACTCAAATTGCATTTGATAATGGTAAAATGCCCATTTTATGAGCATTATATGACAGCACTTTGAAAAATAACTACTGTAATATGTATCATCACAACATTATCTGCTAGAAAGTCCATGCAATTGTCGGTCCTCATAAGAGTACCAAACAGTTTTAATCCTTACCCTGTTCCATTTGTTGCAGTTACAGATAATGCTTGAACCCTTGCAACAGGAATTCTCATTTTCTGCTGCGCTGCTGTTCTTGAACCATCATGCTCAACTGATGAGCTAGAACTTGCTTCCTGCAGAGAATGCTCAGGCAGACTCAGCTTTCGACTTACTTTTCCTGCCACTTTATCAGATAGAGGCCTTACTTGCCGACGAAGGGCTGTAACCTGAGTGCAAAAACACTGTTAGTTCTCCCAAAACTGTGTTCTAAGTTCTAGCAAAACAATGTCATTCTGTTTTCAAAAATGCCTTGCTGTTTTACCACAATACCTCTTCAGTTTTGCGACGTAAGATAACTTCTTGATTTCTTTTCTGAGCTTCCAGAAGCTTGAGTTGATGCTGTGAAAAAATACAAGCAGTACTTACTACTTTTTCCATTAGCTGCCACAAGGACTGTATTGTATTAAAAAATAGGCCTTTACACACTAGTACAAGTTTGCAAAACTGTTGTGACATGAAATGGTCAAGTCACAACTGTTTCTTGCTCTTTCTAGTGCAGAATGAAAATAAGGGTTTCACTACATCGATTCTCTATCAAAAAGAATACTTGCATGCAAGCAAGGTGGTAGCAACAGTTTTGTGAAGATTCACTAATAAAATAATACTGATATACATATTCAATAAGCTTTCTATTCTGTGTTGCACTTACCACTGAAGCTAGGGACTGTTACCCATAGAAGTCAAACCAAATTATGTGCATTTTGACTGGTGAAAATATACAGGTACCTGCCTGCCTCAGTGAATGCATATACACATGGTGTGTGCCTGCAAGCGGATGCACATCAATGATTGACACTGATTCCAAATAAAAGTTCTTTATCTATCAAATCACCTCTCGTTTGCGTTGCTCCTTTTTAAGCTGTGCAATCTCTCTATTTCTTCTAGATTCAGTCATTCTAGCTTTCTCCTGCTCTTCTTTCATTTGTTTCATCAAGCGAACCTGTAAAGAGGTCATCACTTAGAAAAGCTTGTTTACACTGAAGTGCTGTTCTCTGCCTCCACTTACATAGAGTTTCTTCTTCAAACTGCCATCTTCCAGTATATGACATGGTTTTAGTAATTTACCTCCTCCATCTAATGTGTCTTCTTCACTCAGTGCTGAATAACAGCTAACAAGCAGTGCAAGCCTCTGCATGTTTGATACCGTAATTTCTGTTCAGTCAACCTAAAAGCCACCCCTCTCCCCCAAGAATAGCCTAGTCTTCACAGCTTTTCTGTTTTCAGACTTTCGAGCAGCTGACAGCAAGAATGTAGCTATCTGGTAGATAAATGCACAGGCAATTTCAACCCATTTCTCAGTAAACACTCATTTTACAGCACTTCAATATAGGAAATATACCTTGGTTTTCTTCATTTCTGTCACCTCCTGTTGCAGTTTCTTCAGTTGCTTTTCATATTGAGACTGATTTTTAAGCAATCGTGCGTGTTCCTTTTGCGCTGTTTGAAGTCTCTGCAGTTCTTTATTCATGGCTTGGAGTTTCTTTTCATATTCTGACTTGATTTTTTTTGCCTTTTCTTCTGAATAGGTCTCTACAGAACCTAGAGCAAAAGGGAATTCTTAATCTGCTTTTGTTCAGAATATTTTCCCTTTGCCAGCCACAGCAGATAACGCTAAAAGCAGAGAAAGCAGTTATCCGAAATATCTTTGAAAAAACTAATTTGTCTCTAGCTCATCATCTGCACTGCTTTGAACTTTCCACCTTGTACGCATTCTTGGATAAGACATAAAGTAGTAACACTTTAACTGATTTTTTTTGCACTAGATAACAAATATCTGAGCACCTGAAGACAGATACACACGTGCTTGTTCACACATATGTGCACAAGATCATAACAACAGTCCTAAGAGCCATCAAGCCTAGTATCCCTTTTCTGGCACTGATCAAAAGGGAAGGTCTAAGGAAGAATAAGGGAATAGTAAAAGCATATAAAGTATATAACTACAAAGCATATATAGTATATTTAAAAAAAGAAACAAACCACTTCCTCAAGTACTCTCCCAAAATTCAACTAGTTGTGGCTTAGGACTTCCTGAGTCAGAGTTAGTTTTTCATCTCAATACTATTCATATTCAAAAAAGTGTGGTCAGTAAAACATCTCTGAAAGGCTACTGATCCTAGTTGTTACTTTTATGCAAGTCAAAAGAAAGGGCGGGGGGAGGAGCGGAAAAGATCTTTTAATTGAGGAACTCTCTCAAGTACTATGTTAAAATGAGAGCTCCTAGAAAACTGAAAATGCTTGTTCAACCAAATCAAATACCTGTCACTAGCTGAATTTATTTTTTTTTTTAAAAAAAGTTACTATCTCAATTCCAGTAGAAACTAGAATGAATAAAGTATGATTCACTGAAATTATGAGTACAAACCTATTTCTGTTTTCTGCAATTTCTTACCACATTTGAAAAAGGAAGTAAGTGTAGTAGCGAACAATTCAACTTAAATATATATTACACAACATCTAGATTTTAATATTTTTGTACTTCTTACCCAAGTTTTGAAGAACCTGATCTCTTTCAAGCTGAGTGTCTCGAATTTTATGTTGTAGCATCATTAGTTTTTCTTCATATTGTTTTTTCAGCGTTTGCAGCCTTCGCTGGCTGTTCTCTAGCTCATCTATCAGTTTCTGCTTAATGGCTATTTCACAGGTGATATTTGCCAAGTCAGCTTGATAATTTTCTAAAATAAAAAGATTTGAGTAATTAAAAAATAAGTTTTCTGTTAAAGCAACAGCAAGGATCACATAAATATAAATACCCCCTGCAATATTAGGGTCATTTCCTGACATGTGAGTTGTACATAGGAGAATTCCACACAAAGCACACTGCAGCAAGCGAAACTATTATCTGCAATTCATGATAAAGTCTCCTCTTTAAACACTCTCCATCCTAGAATTGTGAAAGAGGTAGGGAAATCCTAGAATTGTGACAGAGGTAGTGAAAGATATCTCTCGCTGGATCACAGTTGCCCATATGTTGTAATTACTCACATTCAAATCTCAACATCAGCAATCTGTTCTTCCCCATACAAAAGGCTGTTAGACTTCAGTGTCACCTCAGGGCTGGAGAATAACTGTCATTCATAAACCCAGCAGGTTATAAAAGAAAAACTTGACTGCTGGCAGACTTCAAGAGGAGACTTTCCCTTCTCTAGCTCTTAGAAAGATAAAGCCAAAATTCTGAGAAGAGAGGAGCCACCTCAATCATGGAAGTGCAATGATGAAGGGAATGAGAAAAGTAGGAGGAAAAAGTAAGGAAGAAGGACTAACCTACATGATAAATTTATAAAAGTTTAATTAATTTCTTTAGTCAATTTGGTCCTATTTTGCCTTGAGATTATGTTCTCCAGAATAAAGACGTCAGTTGAGGATTATTTTTTTTTCAGGTTCTGCAACTCCTGCTAACGGTCTGTGTAACTCTCAAACAAGAAGGAACCAACAGACTTGGCTTGCCCATTTGGCCTGACTCAGATGACAGAATTGCTGGTGATGCCGTCTCTGACTCTAGCAGTCCTAACTTGCATGCCACATGAAAATGAGTGAGGTTGATGAACTTCCAGCCTTTCAGAACTCAATTCTACCCATTTCCAAATAAGCTGGATGGGAGCAATCATCTTGGTGATTAGTCCTGAGACATAAAAATAACCCAGTACTTAAACCTTACACTTTGGATATTCTAACCAAGAAATGTGTTATCAAACACCTGATGGCCTCTGGTCAATTCAGAAGGCAGTATGGGGACACTTGATCAGATATCTATTGCATGTTTTAGCATCACAACCAAAAATTCACTGGATATACAATCCACAGTTTATACATATATAGATATTAAAAAAATCCAGAATTATGGACAGTGGATTGACAACATGCTATCTTCCCTACCAAAATCCAAGGAAAGACAGATAGTATTTGTAAAATTCTACAGAATATTGCACTGACATCACCTTTTTCATCAGAGTCAGAATCTGATTCATCTGAGCTTTCAACAACTTCCATGTCATCTTCATCCTCATCATCTTCCTCTTCTTCATCCTCATGATCACTTACTTCCTGAATTACTTCATGAATTTCCTCCTACAAAATGTACAAACCAGAAAGATGTTGAAGCACACCCACACTTTTCCATCCCCCAATCACTTGTGACTATCGCTGTGAAGCCACAGTATTCACTTGACCTATTCCCGATTTCCTTTCTATAACCTTTCTAAAACCTATAAACAGACAAGGAACAAATATACCAAACACTTCTAAATACTTACTGCTTCCAATTCATTATTCTCCCTCTCCGAAGTGCCTTTTTCATCTCTCTTCTCCTGCTCGTTATCTGTATTATCCTCTTTAACACTAGCAGAAGAGGCACAGACACAAAATATTCACAAACTGAAATGGCATGTGCTTCCCACCCCCCAAACCAATACGTTGCAAGTCCAAATAAAGAGGAAAACCAAAGTGCAGTTAGACAAAGTACAGGTGTTAGGCATGGGCAAAACACAACTTCCAAACTCCCGCAGATAATAAAATAATGCTTAATTATTCTTAATCTTAGCTTGCAAAATAATATTAATGATTAGCACATTGGTTTAGGGTATATTGCACAACTGGGACAATCAGAATACCCATCTTCATGTACTACAGCAGTACACATTTTGCATGGAAGTTGCAGTGTACCCAGAATAGCTTTTAGAAAACAAAGAAAGAACATTGTGTTCAGGTACAATATACATTACAGGTATCACTACACTCTCAGGCTATAACAGAGCCTACTGTGCTTAAAATCGTCTGAAAATTTATGTAAGCCTTAAACAATATCCTAATTTATCATACTGTAATTACTTTTTTGATCAGTTATTTACTTTGACATCAAAGGAATGCTCAAAATAGGCATTGATACAACAACAGAAAGAATCAAGAAATACTGAATTTTTGCAATAGGACAGACTGTCTGAAAAAGAAACTTTTCCTAACTATTAGGGTTACATTTTAGTATATTTCCATGCTTTTTTTTTTTTTTCATACTGTGGTTCAAAACTTATTTAAAATTCAAATCTCTCTATATCGTTTCCTCTCTTGGCAATCTGAACTGTAGTGATGGCTCATGTAAATTACAGCAGGGTTTTTTTGCTTTTGTTTTAAAGGCTTGGTGTATTAGCCATTAGGATGAGTTTTAACGTTAAGTGCACATTTGAGATATCACATGCAAATGTAAAATTCAGAAGTCAACGGCACTCCACAAATTGTCACGGACTAAAAGTCAGTTCCTCTAGTGCTACATGTGCAAAACCCAAACTATCCCCAATAGACAGGAAATTGTGACAAAACAGGGCTAGACACCTTTGGGGGTAATAACAAAAAACTGTGGTTAGGATTGCATGATGTGGAATCCACCTCACCTAACTTCAACTGCATAAAAGTTTGGCAAATTGTTGGCTGTCACTGATCAGGCAGGGTAACTAGAAACGCACATCTTCCTCCACTGACACCAAAAGGAGCTCAGACCAGAGGAGGTCTAACTCTTAGACAAATCCAATACTCAGTGCAGCGACAAGAAATATTCAGTAGATTCGAGACACTATAATTTGGCAAGTGACACCTAAAAGCCACCTTTAAAACAGACCTCTACTCTGAAGAATGCCAGTTAAGTAACAGAGTGCTTCTGTGCTCATACAATTTGTTGTTATACTATTGTTATACTATTTTTTAACCAGTTCAGTGCTAACTGGTTCCTTCTGCTTCACTTATCAGCAGTGAAACCAAATCCAGCTACAGCTGACCACGTGCAAGGCAGAAAGCTTTTGCTTGGACCATCTAAACCCACACAGCAGCCAGGGAGGCTAGAAGTAAAAAGCCTAACCAGATTTGTGCAGAAAAAAGATGCCAAAAGAGGGAACACTGAGCCACACAATCTCATTTCCACAGATTCTCATCTCACCCAGCCCGCAACATTTCATGTTTGTTAATAGGTCTAAATGATAATAGATCTTAGCTGCAATCTTGATGCAAATTGAGGCAAACCCCCAGTCTCCCTTCTGCCTGCACGCAGCACAGAGCTAACCACTACGGAGAATCTGTGTTCTGCCTGATAAAGGGGAGAGACAGGAGGAAGGCCAGCCAGCAGCTCTCCCAGGCAGAACTGTTCTGCTTAATTTGTGTGCTACTGATCTGAGGTTTCACATCTTCTGCATGAATTCAGTGAGGATTTTTTTGGATAAAAGTAGACAGCTGAAAAATAAAAGCTCTTTTACTTTCATTTTTAACGACAGTATATTTCTCTTTTTAGAGCCTTCAACTTAACTGCTCTAACTACTTTATCTACTGCCTCGGCTGAAACTGAATGGAAGGAATGGTCAAGGCTTCAGTCACACGCTTTCAAAAATAAAAGAAGCAGGCTTCACTGAGGTGTGAAAATCCAAGACCTTCTTGACCTCACATGCCAAAATCATTACTGTCATATAGTGCCTGCTATACATTTCACACCATATGAGCTACTGTGCCTTCCTCCTGCCTTTCATTCCATACAGGCCATGCAAGAAAGAAATCTACTTAATTCTAGAGCAATTCCCAAAGGCACCACCTCCCCACAAAGGTTTGCTCAACACTCTGCAATCCCAGAGTCAACCTCAATTCCACAACAGAGGTTTCTTCCAGTTAAAACACTTGTTGAAAGTCAAAACACGGGAAAGAATTTTGAAAAGCCAAATGAACTATTCTTGAAGTACCTATGAATCTGCCCAACTTCTTTTCATGTATGACAACCAGTTAATTGAAATGACAGGTAATTAAAAACCTGGGAAATATTCCAACCTTCTTTCTTCTTGACTGCTTTCCTCAAGTTTCTGTAGCCTTCAAAAGCACGAGGTACAGTATTGGAAGGCCAAGTCAATGAAGGACAAACCAGACAGTGAAAGCAAAAGTGATAAGAAGGTAAAAAAATGATATATGAGCTTGTGGAGTTTAAAATGAAATTTTAAAAGATACCATCAAGAGACAACAAGTAGTAAAAAGGCAAATACATTTTGCACAGTTGGAAAGTAAACAGAAAACAAAGAAGAAGCATTTGTAGGTTAACTAATCTGTCACTGCCAGCAATTGTAAATTCAATTTACACTAAGGAAGAAATTGTAGATATAGACAATATATTTCACTTTGAGAATTACTTCTAATATGGATTCAAAAAAATCTCTTAGTTCTAGAAAAAGCTTTCTCCTCCTTTGCCACTTGAAATTGGCAGGTAAAAACCCAAATATTGCAAGAAGTACTGCCATTGAACCAAAGTTATATTTCCTCAGGAATACATCAGGAAAAAACCCCAATGCACTAGTTCTATATATGCTGACAACATATTGTAATATAAAATAGTAATGAGAATTTTTCAGTACTAATATTTAAATCATATATTCTGAATATAATTCATATAAAAATCTTCAAACTGCATTTATTTTTTGGTTTGGGGTTTTGTTTGGTTTTCATTTAAAAACATAAAATTGCAGTTTGTTTTTCTGGGATTCAAAAAGTACATGCCAATGATTGCTTGTTATTTTTTAATAAATTAACAAAAAATATGCATCAGAAGCAATGAGATGGACAAAGTGTTAGTATTATTACTTGCATTTTTTCCTCTTGAACAAACATGGATGTGTCTGTAAACAAGTGTCTGCATGACTCATGTAAGTGTAGAGATGGCTTAAATTTCAACAGCTACTGAAATTCCTTGTGTTTCCACTATGGGCAAGTTTTGAGCAAGAGTTTTTGCTGCCTTTTCATCTTATACTGCCTGCTATCTTCCTTCAGTATCAGCTAGGAGCTAACATGCTGAACCCTATGTAATTTTATCACTAATTTAGTTTAGTAAAGGTTAGGGAAGTCAAAAGACAACAGTCAAAAAAGGTTATCAGGCATGTAAGGCTGACTAACAACTGAAAGGGATGTGGGAGGTTTGCTCTGGGGCCTCTGGTGAGTAGGTCACACTGTGGGACACTCCAATCAAGCATGTCAGTGTTTTGGTAGCCAAAATGTTACTGCCATGTAAACTGTTTCCAATAAACTTTAACAGATGCTTATAAAAGGCTACAGATATATAGCAGTATATACCTGTTCCTGATTTAGAAACCGGCTCTTAGATCTTCAGGCTAGCTCTCACAACAATTTACATAAGTTACATGTATTTAAAATTAGGCACCTTTCATCATACTGACCCATAACCAGGAAACAAACAGATCAAGAAAGGTAGCAGATGGGGCAGAACTAGTAACTAAGCTTACCGATCCCATTTTGATAGGAAAATGCTAGATAGATAACTTTAAAAGAACAGCAACCCTAAAAAGAAATAGTACAGTAAAAGCAGATAAATGCCTGTAGAAAACAGAAGTAGAGCAATGAATCCCTACCAAACTGCGGGGTAAATTGTCCCTTTGCAATACATTAGCATACCCATTGCCAATTCCTGACATTTCAATAGAATAAACATTCACAGTGATATATCCTGAACACAGATTTTGCGTTTCATTAGATAGAAGCACTCTGCAGGTAACAACTATGACAGGCTATATGCCTAATCCCTCAAATTCTAACATTTCTTAGCTTCTAAGGAATTTTTCTCCTAACATATGCACTTCAGAAATTTATAAGTATTATTACAAAGCAATCTGCAGATGGGTCAGTAGGTAGATTCAAACCTTACCAGCACTTTAAAGAGTATGATCCCATTCTATAGAACACAAAACCCACTTTAAGATGGAGGCTGGACCATCAAGACATCTCTTCCAACTTAAATTTTTCTATGGTTCTCTGATTCTATAGTGCTAGGATAGAAAACTGATCTCAAAATAGTTTATGGTAAGTAGTCTCTACTTCTATACGAGACCACTTGACTATCTCATTCACAAGATTATTGTCCTGGTGCGAGCAAGTGTGAATGGACACAGGAGCTTCTACCAGGAAAAAAAAACAGCGAAACAAAAAGACCCAACAAACCAAAAACCACCACCCTCCCCCACCAAATTGAACAACAATGTGGTTTACTTACTACTGTATGTAAGGTAAAACTTCCAAGTGTGTTTTTAAAGTGATCATCTCCTATAATAAGATATATTACTCAATATATCTAGTAACCTTTATCTGTTTTCTGGTCACAATCCTGTCTTCTACCTAATCCTCAGGCCCCAACCTAACAACTGGGGCTCTATGTAAGCATGTATTTAAATGTATGCTTGATTTTAAAATGTGTTGAAACATACAAAATAAAATCTCCTTGTTCTTGCATTTACAGTTAAAGAACGTATTGAAGTGCTCAGCTGAAGAGAGGCCAGAACATTATGCTGATTTAATTTAATACTTCCATCCTCTCGTCAGGTTCCTACAAACATGAGATATAAAATCTATCAAAATCCTCATAAAAGTATAAGAGTTTCCTGAAAAATGATATGCAAAGGAAGAATCTACTTGTTATTAAAATGAGCGTTCTCTACAAGTATCACACATCTGTGTGGTGAATGGATTTGTTGATATAGGACCTCAAATTGCAGGTATCACTAACTCAAATCTACTTTATACTTCAACTATATTTCAGGCTTATACTATTTTAGTTTTAATCTTAACTTGTAGAAGTAGTCTGAAGGGCCATTAGTAGCAAGACTAATAGATTAGAAACATGAAAAATTTCAAGGAAAGGGAAAGACCTCTAATGGAATCAAAGTCCCGGCATACACAAACAGATCCTTGCTGTACTAACTGCTTTCTGAACAGGCATTTATATCAATGTCTATGAGCATTTTAGTAGATGAAAATTGGACTGCAAAAAACAGCAAAGCATGATGTTGCAGAGAATTAGGAAACCTCAAATTAAAAACATTCATAAAAGCAGAAGATAAAGCAAAAGAAGCCGTTCCAAGAGCTACCAAAGAATTCCCAGCTATTCAGAATATCTTTTCTTCAGAAAGCTGTTTCAGTTTTGACATATGGTAGAAAAAAGTTTATAATTTTTGGTTTTGAAAACTTATGTTGAATTTTAGACGCAATTTTTAAAAAAAATTTAAAAAAATCAAAATTTATGGAGACCACCTGTGCTTTCTTTTACCATTGTGCATAATTACGTAGAAAAATTCATTACAACAAAGACATTCGTTCTACAAATACTGCATACTTCACTGGAAGAAAAGATGCAGAAGAAAAACACCTATAACTTCAATGTGTAAAAGGGTTTGAAGGAACAGGAGTTTAGGATCCAAACCCACACAGCAACAACAAATTAATTCTAAAGTCTCAGCGGTTAAAAAAATACACCTCTTTACTAATAAAGAGAAAACAAATAGCATTATAATTCATACACCACCTCTTTTTCTTTTTCCTTTCTTTTCTTTTCAGCTTTTCTAGATCTTTCTTGGCTATATCTAGAATTTCCATTGTCTCTTTCTCTGAAGAAAGCATAGAAGCAGAAAATGCTGATGGTCCACCAAAGTAGGTGGATCTTGTTGAAGCTCTTGACAAGTTGCGTCGAAGATTTTCATTCACCGCTTCACTTTCTAATAATTTTGCTCTTTAAAAAAAAAAAAAGAGTGGACCATGAATCACAAGTACTGCTAATGCATAAGATGTTTACTCTTTAGCATCTGTAACTGCAACGCATTACCTTCAGTTTAAAAAGAAACTACAAACCAAGGTGAAGTCTCACAAAATACAAGTGTAGTAAATCCCTTGATGAGACCATTTTACACAACAGTTATGTATATCATACATATGCTTATTCTGTCTAGGGTATATGATACGTAAGTGTAAATGTCTGTATAAATATATACAGACATATATCTGCATACACTGTACATATATACATATCACAGGAAAGCTACACAAAAGCTCTAACAGTAACTAGGAATAGGCCAGATAATTATTTTGCATGATACCACTCCAAGAAACATAGAAATAAAAATATCTAAAATATTTAATACATACTTTAATTTTAAAAGAAAGCAGGTGCTTTTCTTTCAAACACTAAATTGTAACAAGTTATTTCTCAGTACTATCATTTATATGTAAGGTTATGAAGTTATAGAACAATTGTTCCAAGTTCTGCTGTCCTTTGTGCAACAATATGAAGTCATCATCATTATTTAGGTTATCTCTTACATTCATTTCTATTGTCAGTTTCATCTTTAACATGTCAATTTTTTGTGGTCAAGCACAACACCAGATGGTCTTAGAAGCTGAAGGAATACTGTCCTAAAGTAACTCCCCCAAAGGAACACAGCTGAAGTATTTACTTGCTAATGCTTCTAGTTTTGGGGTTTTAATTAAAAAATGTTCAAATACATATTACGCAAATACCTGAGATCTTCAATTTCCTTGATATAATTATGAATCATGTTGCTAATTTCTTCATTTCCTTCTCCTTTGAAGGACAGAGAAAAAGAGGGTGTGGGGGAGAAGGGGAAGTTTGAGAAAGGATGGTAACAATATAAGTATCTGAATACAGCTACTAGGCACAAGGTACCAGCAAAGAGAAACAGTCGTATGGGCTACACGTTTAGATCTTATCCGACCTGTAAAATATATTTCCTCCTCAAGCTGCATTAAGTTTTTGATTCCTCTGTGTCATGTGATCAGGAATATTACCAGTAACTTTATTTCATTTGTTTTCCACATTAGCACCTTTTAATAACGCCCGCACCATAAATCAAAAGTAACCTGACAAACAGTGCACAAAAAACCAATGCAGGCATGTTAAGTAAATTGGTTGATTATTCTACGATGTGAAGAGTAAGCCAGCATTCACCCATCTGTGCCTAGGTCCTCAGCCAAAGCAAAATAATTTAAATCCATGTATAGCTAAGCATACAAGTAATTCCTATCCAAAGGTATTATTTCACATTTCGTGTCGCTTGTAGTCCTAAATGAATGGTCAAATCAGGTTATCAAACTATTTCTACTAATAGAAGTCTCCAGAAACAGAGGAAATAATCAGATGGGGGCTTATCCCTGCCAAAGCAGGTCCTACATTACTGTTACAAAGGCATGACTTCATTCCCAGGGATCCATGAAGCAAGCACATATAATTGATTTAATTTCATGAACTTATGAAGCAGTTTATGCACAACACACCCGCAGCATACCTGCTCTGGCTAGCACTTGGTTGGCTTGATCACTCATAAGTTGCGTTATTCTGGCTCTCAGTGCATCAATAGTCTCTTGCATTGCTTTAATTCTAACACGCAGGTTGTTGTTTTCTGTTTGCAGCATCACATTTTCATGAAACATGTCATTGATGCTTTCAACACCTTCTTCATCTATAATCCTTTTACCCTTAAGAAAGTAAATATATTTTATTACTAGTAAAGGCTGACCTACACATGAAAAATTTTGAAATTCCAAATAGACACTCATAGCAAAAGATAACCTTCTCTCAAAAAGTTTAAAACAATGGATAGTTTTCAAAACATTCATGTTTGACCAACACATGCATTTGGGTCCTGTGCATTTCCATCTTAGTATGAAAAAGAAGTTCTTAAAGAAGTTAAGAAATGAGAATACAATTCTTTATCAAATCAGGATATTATCTCAATGATAACAAAGGAGGAAGATGCTGTTTGGTAACCACATTTGTTGCTGAAAACATTATTTGTTTAAAATTTCAGGAAGAAATGGGCATTGTGTAGTATCAGTATTCGCCTTATAATTTTAAAACGTATTTTTAAAAACACAATTTTTTTTCTGTCTAGTAAGTTTTTAAAAGCAATACACAGTAGCTGTACACATTCATTTATGCACCAATCTAAATTGTGGTCATTTTTGCTCTGGAGGTGACTATTTCTCATTACTCAGCATGACAAGGTCAATTTTTGCCTTTCAAAAAGCAAATAGCATGGAGCATCTGTTGACGTCACTGGTATTCATTGATGTATTTTTTTCTCTGGGAATGCAATCTAAGTTTTCTAAAAATATCTGGTAATCACTGGAATTGGAAGTGTTGTTTAGGTTAGAGTTGCTATTCAGATTTTTTAGTGAATTAAGTGGAAGTAGCCAACAGAAAAACAAGCTGTAGAACTATCAACATTTTAAAGCAGAAGAAATCCTAAGCAGGTAAACTTACTGTTTTGTATTCCATGAGTTCCATCTGTAGCCGTGTAATCTCACTGCGCAAAGCATTTATTTGTTGACTAGCCCTATCCTGATTAACCATCACCTTGTTCTTGATGTTCCGCGCCCGATTGGCATATTTTAATGTGTTCAAGGTTTCCATGAAGTCTCGATCTGAAGGGCTCACACACGCTATCATGAGTGTTTGACTGGAAGTTAGAAACATAGGTCAGCACTACATCTCAAGAACAAAAAGAGTAGAGAGAAGCTAACAAATCTTCAGGTAGAAGGTGAAAAAAAAAAAAACAGTGACTTCATAGCATTTGTGAAAAATATTCCTCAATTTAACTCACAGTAAAAGACTCTACCACAAAGTTCAGCACTGTTACATCTTGTATCACCCTAGCATAGCATAGGAGATGCTAGATCATTAATTGTTCTACAGGTAAAGTTATAAAAGCAATTAATTGATGGTCCTAGAAATGTTTTTTAAAATTATATTCAGTTTGCCTAATCATATGTAAACTGAGATTTAGGAACTGAAGTCAACTTGAAGTCCTAAACAGTGATTTGGATCACACAGTTGTCAGGACTGCCTACTGTAATTCCTGAGGTGCCTACCTATTTAATCTCAAAGTTGCCTGAATGATCATTTTAACTGTCCATGCATGCACACAACTGCCTAATGTACCTATTTTCTACCTCGGGTTCCACCAAGGTCCAAACTGCCTGAATTCTCCGCTGCAATTTATCTCCTGTTGTCCAAAAGAAGCCCAAAAGCTAGTACTTACCCTTAGTGCCTCTGGCTATAATTGTATTTATTCCATGTTTCATAACACCACTGCTTAGAGCACTTCCACAAAAAGCAGCAGGACGTGAGCTCTAGGTCCCAGAGGGCTATGAACAACCATCTTCCTTTCAGGTTCCTACAACACCCTCTAGCCATCCCATCATGGGATATGCAGGGTGGGAACATACTCCCTGCTCCAAATGGAAGACTGAGCAGACAGACCAGCAAGAATCAGTGGGATAAAAACAGAAAAAGGCAAAAAATTTTTCATTCCAACCAAGCAATTTCATCATTCAACAGGCAGATGGAGGAACCGAGGTCCCTTCCCTCACTCCCTGGAGCAGATTCATTTCACATCAGATGAGAAAAGCCTAGAAGGGTCAGAACCAGAGTTCCAGCTGTAGATCATACTCTGAAGGTTCCTGCATGGCCTAAATTCTCAACAGATATGGGAAAACACCTAGATTTGATGGACTGAGTACTCCCCTCCTGGCTTTAGAGGAATTTGCTTCTCTGTTGTATGTTAAAGCTTAGGTGATTGCATCAGGAAGCACACGCTGTCTCCAGGGCAATGGAGCAGTATCTGCATTAGGCAGACTGAATTCTGATCTTCACTTTCTATAGTTTCATACTGAAACAAACAAATTATCCCTGCAACCCTTTGTCAGACAAACAATTACTTTCACTATACAGACTGGGAAACTAAACTGGAAAGAGTAACTGGGTAACTGAGGATACAAGGAAGATTCAGTTTCAGCCACTCTTCTTCAGACCTGCCACATACCTTTATGTCAGTTCTCCAAACTGAGTTTAGTCCTCAAGATAAGAACATGCAAAATTAAGAACAAATTTTTAATTCTGACATCAGGACTACCTGTGCTTTCAGTTGAGAATGCAGTTACTTTTCTAGACCTCATAGGACTGGTTCTGCTAGGTATCAGTCTTGAAAACTGAACAATTTGAACTCCACTTTCCTATCATCTGAATTGTATAATGGACTAGCTTAAAAAAAAAAAAAAAAACAACAAAACTGTTCTACTCCCTTTATTTTACCACTTCTTTAAACTGTTCCTTCCACCCTAGAAGTTATGAAAGTTTTCATTTTTCATATTATACATTATAAAAATCCTTTCTGAAAACACCAATAGTCCATATTCTTACTTAATAATTCAAGAAACATTAATATTTAAATGCTGCTTCAGGACTGTTACAGCATTATATTTAAAATCAGGATCATGCTAAGAATAGTACAGTGATACAATGCTTTCATCATCGTTAACTCAGGACTCACTGCAATCTAACCTGAATCACTTCTGGTAAATCTTTTCTAAGCATTTGCAAAAGAGAAACAATAATGTGGACTGTAATACTTAGAGTAGAATTATGAAGGCTAGAGAACAAACTAACAAGAAAACTAATCACCTGATTTCCCAGAAAAAAACCTGCATATTTATTAAAATTTAGCTTTCCCACACTTTTTGGTTGCCAAAGTACAGATAAGAAATTATTCAAATCGTGTTAATAACTCTTTCTTAACAGCAAGCTGCTAATTTGACGTCTCAGCATGTAGATCATAGAAATGAAAATGGGGGGGACACCCCACAAGTCTAACATTAGTCAGAAACAGACAGAAAGAACATATCTGAATATGCTTGAAAATGCTCTGGTATAGCACTTGCTATCTGTACATTTGTGCTGGTTTTGGCTGGGACAGAGTTAGTTTTCCTTAACAGTAGCTGGTATGGGGCTAGGATTTGTCCTGAAAACTGTGTTGATAACAGAGGGATGTTTTCATTACTGCTGAGCAGGGCTTACACAGAATCAAGGCCTTTTCTGCTCCTCACCCCACCCCACCAGCGAGGAGGCTGGGGGTGCACAAGGAGTTGGGAGGGGACACAGCCCGGACAGCTGACCCCAACTGACCCAAGGGATATCCCGTACTGTATGGTGTCATGCTCAGCAATAAAAGTTGGGAGAAGAAGGAGGAAGAGGGGAACATTGAGTTATGGCATTTGTCTTCCCAAGTAACTGTGATGCGTGATGGAGCCCTGCTTTTCTGGAGATGGCTGAACACCTGTCTGCCGATGGGAAGTGGTGAACGAATTCCTTGTCTTGCTTTCCTTGTGTGTGCAGCTCTTGCTTTACCTATTAAACTGTCTTGATCTCAACCCACGAGTTTTCTCACTTTTACCCTTCAGATTGTCTCCCCCACCCCTCCGTGGGAGGAGTGAGCGAGCGGCTGGGTGGGGCTCAGTTGCCGGTTGGGGTAAGAGCAGGACAGCGCTGTGCACTGAACTCCGCCATTCCTCCTGAAGAACAGAAGGGGGAGCAGTGGAGCTACGAGACGGGAAAATAGTCGCTATTTCCACAAAAGTGCAATTTTAGGAGTGGCTTGAAAGAATGCTCATTAGCCAGTGTATTTGATATAAAGTTTAGTCAAGAAATGCCATTTGTAGTTATTTCCAGAAAGAGTTTAGAAGACCTAGCTCTTGATTTCTGCTGATTTTTTCATAATTCTTGAGTATCTTCTTCCCCTAAGCATTTCTGAAAATTCTAGCCTTTATTTACTTGTTTTGTCTGGCTCTTTGCTTTTCCTCACACTGCAGTGCTGCAAGGTGTTGCTAAAGTACTCCCTCTGAAGAGTAGAGAAACAATGTAAGAATTCTCTTCCACTTCTCCCTATTCCTTTGTGAAATGCCCAGAAAACTTGCTGCCCTCCTAAAAAGAGGAGTCAGACATATCGGATTAAACAGAGGAATAAGAGTACTACCTTGCTAAAACATATTCAACTACTCTACATTTTGTATTTGTACATATTAATGTTACAAACAAATACAAAACTTGTATTATTTTAATGAATCTGTTAATGTTTGCTTAGACAAAGCTTCCAGAGGCCAAAGTCTCTCTTCTTGTCTACCTACTGCACATACAAGAACATGTTCATACAAACAGTTTTGGCGATACACTAGTTTTTATTAGGCTGTAATCCAACATCAGACAACTTGACAGATGTACCATACCCTGAGATGTATAACATTTACAAAAAGATGACAGTGCCTGTGGTAAGCTGACTCCAAGCTCCTGTGCGCAGCATTCAGAGTAAATAATTAAGTGACATTTAAAAAGAGAAAAGTAGCAAAGAAAACTCTGAAAGAGAAACTCATCATAGCTTTAAACTACGCTGTAATTAATAATGCTATAACACAATAATAAAATTTACCATTTATGCTATCTACAGTCTAAAGATGTCTTCATGGAAAGGACTTGATGTGGAAATGGTAACTTCTAAGTAACTCAAAGCCTCACATCTAGTAAAGCTAGAACAGCAGTGAAAAGAAAAATGCAAAAATCCTCTTTAAAATCTTTTCCCTGCATTGCCAGCATTTTCTGTCATGACAGTAATTTATCTTTGGAGCCTCCCTCCAACAAAAAGAGTGGCTATTTTTAATCATTGTTTCATATTTATTTTACTTTGAGGGTTATGTACTCATTCACAATTAAATACATAAAATGGTCTAGTTTTCATACCTGTTTCCCCCAAGAGAGTCTTGAAGTAGCCTTGTAAGCTTCGAATCTCTGTATGGTACATGAGTTGCCTTCTTACTTTTATCTCCCAGTGCACTTATAACATTGCCAAGTGCCAGCTATGAAACACCAAATCATGTAACACACAAATTAGAATCAGTTCCTGAGTAGTTTTATTTTAAAAACAGCTATAAACTGGGGTCTGCATATTATGAAAAAATTAACATACTCATGAAAGTTAACAAAAAATATTTTTGAGGATTTTTACATTTTACAACAGACATCAATAAACTTTTGTGCTATCAACAGTGAATCAGCTGACTTGCAGTCTGGTATCTGCAAGCGCTAAGTGCTTAGCACAATTTGTGTGCACTGTCTATTGGTATCTCATGTCAGTTGCAAACTAAAGTTAGAACTACTTCACATGTAACAAACATCTACTTCCAAAGATTATTAAAGCTGATCTCTACTTCTAGCAGTAGCCATATTCTTTTTAAAATTAATTTTATCAAGCTGTTTTATGCTAGATTTAGAATAAAATATGGAACATTAGTATAAATTTACTACCTCTACAGATATGAAATAAGAAATGTCTGATGAAGATTTAAGCATTTAAGGCTTGAAATTATGTAGTCCATGTCTATGTTATTTCATTGCTAAAAGGGTCTAATTCATGTTTATAAACAACCTAACAGTTGGCTGTAAACATTTTTATTGTGCAACTGCACGTACTTCAACCGCATGCCAAATTAAAGAACATTCCTCTAGATGGCAACCTGTACAGTCCGTTCTTAGTCTTGAAAATGGTCTTACTGCATCCAGCAGTTGAAGAACTGTGTATGCACCACGTTCTGTGACTGCTTTGAAGTGTTTAAATCACTTTCAATCTGTTCCCCAAAGCTGAGGGTTGGAATTTAATGTAAATGAAAGCTTTGTGATCATCTAAAAATATTAGATTTGTCACACTGATTTTCACCTTCGTGCATTCTGTATCCTATTTGTTAAGGATACATCTATGTCATCTAAATTCCCAAATTTCTGTTGGCTTTGTGCTTATATCAGTGATAAAACTGAACTGAATTCTCTTTCTCTTCCATACAATATAACCAGAACAACTACAGAATATAGCTACTGTTGTGATGGTAAGAGAATCACTAAAAAAGTTCTAGTTGCAGAATACCTCTCTGGTACTTACTACACACTAGACCAGAAAAAAAAAGGACACATTTTCACATATAAAATAAACACAAATTTTGCATCTTTTAAAAGAGAATTGCACAGAGCCTCCATACAGCCAAGTAACTCAAAACAAAGGCATGAAACTACAATCTCCACTGATAATCACCAGCTTTACGTTTCAGTGCAGTTAAGTAAATGTTAAGTAAAACATTTAACACAGTTAATCAAAAAAACTATATGTAGAGCCAGTACACAGACAAAAAAAAAGTGATGCTATGAACTAAAAATTTTATTTCTCCTTAGAAGTGTCTTGCCTAGGGCTGTTTTACATTATGTTTCATAATTATAATACAGAAACAGCATTTATTGATGGATTAAGCTTATTCATTGTCCATGTTTTAAATGCCTCTGTCTCTTGCATGCTGCTTGTAATGTTCTCCAATTGTTTGGGTCTTGACAGAATAAGAAATAAAAATTTTAAAAAGTGAAAGGAACTCTACAATTTCTTGTAAAAGTTAGAGTAACTAACTATATTTCACAACAGTTACAAGTACTATAATTTGCTACTTAGGGTCCAGTACAACTGAGAAAACACTAGCAAGCCAGAACCCAGTAAGAATCAATACATAGTGTTATGTCTCATGCTACAGTCCTTATTCTGCATATGATGCATTTCTACTTTAGGGATTACTAAAAACAAGTGATCCAAAAAGGAAAAGAAAATGGTACCAACAGCCTAGGGAAACAAGTTATATAGTCTTACTAGTCCACAGTTGATGGAAATGCCTTCTTTTGCCCTTTCTCCTGTAGCTCCTGTTCGCTTTAACCTTTCAGATCCCGCTAGATCAACAAAATGGAACTTGGCAGTAAGAGTTTCAAATTCATTAATCTCAGACGATTCAGATATTATCCTGTTATCAGTGGCATTATCCTGAAATAAAGAACAACTCATAAAGCTTGGCAAGATCTTTCACATTAACATTTGTTTACTGCAAAGTTCAATCAAGAATTATTTACAAGGCTACCTATCTGTCATGTCCATCTCCTTTCTTATTACTCATTCTCTTAAAACAACAGTATGTCTCAAAAAACTACCCCTATTTCAATCATATGTACCAACATACCATTCTTGAAGACCCAGCTCTAAATGCATGTAAATACCAATTACCTTAAGTATGAGCTACAATTGTTTCTTTATGGAGGAGCAGGGGGATACATATATTAAAATATACAAGTCTTCAGAAAGGAGGGCAACAAAATTTGTACCTCTCCTGGAAGGCAAGCCTTAATGCAATTGAAGGAAATTGATTTTTAAAAAAAAAAAAAAAAACAACACACAACAAAAACCAGAAAACCCACACCCCACCAACAACACACCTTAATTATATTATTACTCCCCAAAATCACCAGACCTGCTTAGTTCATAAACCTGCCAAATAACTGAAAGGTATTTTGATTTTATACCTCTCTAATCCCCATTATCAGCTTCCCTATGGCATGATTCTTCAACTTTAAGAATTACTTTTTAAGCCACTTTTCCTAGCAGCCAGTACTCCACCAGTACTTCTGACCTCACCAGAAAGTAAGGACAGCAGAGGGAACAAGGGAGAAGGAAGAGGTTCCTTTCTCCCTCCCACCCAAGCAAGCTGTAATGACGGGCACTTGGCGCACTCCTCCATCAGCACGGGGAGTCTGCCCAGGAACGCACCGCGTCACGGGCAGGTGCCGTAGCCTCTGCCTCTTCCCACTTCACGTCCCAAAGCACAGCAGCAAAAATATCCTTTTTCATTAGGTAATCCTAAGCTTTTTTTCTGTTAATTAGCATAGCTGTACTATATACCGTGGAGTTTTATTTTACTCCAAGTGTGGTTTGACTTGTTGTCAGGAAAGCAACACTGAATGAGGAAATCTTTAAATCGCTTACCTCTTGACCCTCCTGGTAAGACAACCATTGCAGGGTAATTTCTACCTGCTTGTCGTGGCGGCATGTAAAAGGCATATGTGGAGTGTACGCTGGATTTATAATGTATTCAGACAGCCCAATCTACAGGTTTTATTAGGAATTTATATTACAGTTAAGCATAGATTGCTCTGGTTTTTCTTTAAAAAAAATGAATTCTCAGGTATTCTGTGGCAATGCTCTTTATGCCTTTGGTCAGCTAGTCCACAGCCCCCTTCGCTGCTGCAAGGGGTAATGCATCTCTGCAGACCAAACCATTTTCACAGTACTTAAACATTTCATGCTTCTTAAGTGATATTCTTTTGTAGCAGTTTCAGAACAGAACAGGAATTGTGCCACTTCCACAACACCGGAAATCGCTATTTCCGATATTTTGCCATTTACACTGCTATAGACTGCGCTCTCTTTCCCAGCCCTCAAAGTAATGATCAATGCATCTTTTCACTCTCGCTTATTTAGTAAGTCAAATGTACATCCAGAAACTTCCGAGAAGCATGGATGGTGCGAACGCAGCACGAGGAGCAGTGTGTCCGTGCACTGCAGCCCTGGCCGCCTGCCCACACCGGGCACTGGCCACCGCGCGCAGAGGGGACACAGCCAACACTGTCATCCGAGGAGGAGAAACTGCGTTGCCCTAGTAACAAAGGTCTCCCAAAACTGTTGTCTACAGAAACTTGAGCTGCATCTCTCCTGGCCACCTAATAATAGCTCATATTAATTTATATTCCAGGAACGTTCAGAGGCCAGCGTCAGGTCTAACCTCTACTCTGCTAAACACTACAGGGAATAAAGACGGTGCCGTCTTCACAGATTAAGGATCTAGCAATGCCCAGCCCCAGACAGTCAAATTATCTTGCTCATACCCCCCCAAAAAAGGAGGAACAAAACACAGTTTGACACAAGGCAGAAGGCAGCTATCTATTCCTCTAACACAAGCCTCCGTTAAAAACCAGGCAGAGCCAGGCAAGAGCCCTGCAGGTGGCTCGGCTGGCGGGGAAGGCTGCAAGGGCACCAGCGCAGGTGGGTTGCTGTGCTGACAGCCTGTGGGAAATGAGACTCCCAGATGAGTTCTCACTCCCCAGCTACACGGACAGTTTTCAACAAAACCTCTGAGCAGACACACAGTGACCAAGGTGCTCTGTCTAGGCTCCGAGTGCGATGCCAGTCCCTTCCGAGTGAGAAGACAGACAGCTGCCCGCACCACCAGATCCACAGTTTCAGCGTGGAAAGCAGGAATAAGTGCTTTTAACAGGTGTATAAAGCAGGTCTACATACCACAAAGGACCAGGGAGGGACCCTCATTTTGCCTGAAAGTGATTATTGGTAGTGTTAAAAAAAAAAAAAAAGAACGATTCCTCCCACCAAAAAAAAGCACCACAAATCCAATTCACTGTTCCAACATGCTTAAAAATGTGATATCTAGGTGTAAAACACTAGCCAGATACTTAGGAGTTTACTGAAATATTTTAAAATTTTGATATCTTTAAAATAATCCAATTAAGTCTCCTTGAAGTTACTACAGTTTTCAGTAATATGGAATTCTCTTCTTTGCAAGATACAGCAACTAACAACTGAACAGTCACATAAAAAAATCATCTACAGAACAGCTCCATGTACATTCATAGTTTAAATTTCAGGTTAAGTGCATAGACTTAACAAAACATCTGAACCCCAAATATATATCTATTTAAAATAAATACACTAAGCCTCAGATTCAAATGTTTTTCTACTTGCTCCTTGTTGGATATCAACATTTGATCTGGAATATCCAAGCATTTTCAGGTAGCTGACTGCAAGCTTAAACCCACTAACTACTAAGACACTTAAAAATACTTTCCAAATTAACGACAAATTACATTTTAACTTTCTTAGTTGTGTATGTTGCAACAAAATACTGAAGACGACGCTAGAGGAGAATAGGTAGGTTCATGTAAGAGGCTGCCATTTATGGTTGCCTCTGGCTAGAGGACGGTTACGTATGCACAGATTAAATCAAATTATTATAATGCTTAGCAAATTCATGGAGCATGATGATGACTAGCATCTTTACTAAATGGAATTCAAATAGCAGTGGCTGCCAAAACAATATTCACATTTTGAAAAATGGTTACTAAAGTGAAGTTTAATAACAGCAAAGATACGTACAGTGTTAAATGCAGGACAGACTCTGGTTTGACATAAGTGTATAGTAAAGATAGCGTGTGACCGTGAGCTCTGAACATTCATCTGAGTGCTGGCAGTGGTTCGAGACAAAGCGCCCAGCTTCAAGCACTGCATCATCTAGAAAACAGAGAAGTAGTACATTGCATTGCTTGCAGCTTAAATAAAAAGTGTTCCTATAGCACTTACTGTTTCAGATATAAATAAGCTCTTTCTCTTTGCTATGATTTCAGTTCCTATATGCCAAAAAGCACAAAGATTCTTAAATAAGCAAACTAAAAGTATTTTTTGTGGTTTCTGAAAGAAAACACTTGAATCTTTGTACCCCTCTTTTTACTGTCCCCGGTGGTAACATGGCAATCTTCCTTCCTTCCACTCACCTGTGGCAAAAATGTGCCATTTTTGTACTTTTTGTACAAAAATGTACAGTACAATAACATTTGTATTCAGATTTGCAATGCACATGAACTGCAGTTTACCTCACATCAGTCATAATGCAAAGTGTTCCTGTCACAGGAAAAATAACATATATAAGATTTGGGAGATCAGATTTATGCACATGTCAAAGTTTACTCTCCCAGTAGAATTATATTATTAGCAAAAATCTATTTCTAGTATTAAGTGAAAGCGGTATGCACTTAATATCAAACATTTATCAGATTTAAGGCTACAGAAACTAAAGAAAACAAAAATTTTTTATCCAAGGTATTAGCAAGCATAACTTCTATTTTTAACTGCTTATCAAAACATACAGACAAGATTTTTAGATTGTACTTGGTATGATACAGAATAATTTATTTTCAGTTATCACCTCAGATTCTCCATTCACAGTTCGGGTTGTAACACCCACTGTATAAATTTTTTTATCTTCATGGATTTTAATATTTGATTTTTTATTCTTTGCATCAATGTCACGTGTGGTATCAAACAGATCAAGAATTTCTTCATTGTAAAGCTGAGGAGAAAAAAAAAAAGGCATAAAATGTATATTACTTTAGGAAGGAATTCCTCCAAAGACTAACAAATCTATGCATGAAACAGAGAAAGTTCTAAAAATCCAAATGCGAAGGCTCTCAAAAAAGGGTGCTGTGAAACATCCAAACTTACAAGGACAACAGGACAATAGACAGAGCAGCTGCAAATTAAGTCACCTGTACGCTTTACTATTATGCCACCCAAAGAAGCAGCAATTTCCTCCGCATGGTCAGATCTGGGAGAAAATTCTTTGGTGGGACCAGGGAAGGGGAGGCACTCGATGGCAGCAGAACAACGTCGGCAGTGGTTTCTGTGGCAGGCACCTGCTGTCTTCAGGTTTGACCTTGGGTTTTTCTTTTGTTTTGTTGATTCCGTTGGCTGCACCTTCCTCCAAACACTTCAAACTCACGCCACTTGCTCTCCCTGCCATCACACCTTTTCTCATCTCCTCTCTCACACCTTAATAATTACATGTCTGTCATTTAGATAAATTGTTCCTGCCCTGGAAGGAATTTAACATATAATAGTTTTTGTGCAAACTGCTTATTAAAGACACCAACCAGCAGACCAAAAATACTACGGCATGGTTTCTTGAGCAGGGCTTTTGTACTTTCCTCTATACGATGCCTACACTTTGGTGCCCCACGTTTAATTACAACTTTCAGGCACAATCACATGAGCAACAGCAACTATTACAAGTTTCAGGCTGCTTAACATCTACTGCCTGTTTCACTGGGTCTCCTGAAGGTAAGTACATCTACATTTAGTAGTCTTTCTACTCTGCATCATTAAGCACATCAGGCTTTTAGGTCAGTAAATTACAAGGGAACCAGGAAAGACATCACAAATTACTAAGCAGTTATTGGTATTAGAGGAGATAGATTATCATTTCATAAGAATGTTCGGAGTTTGAGGAAAGGTGTTTAGATCCAGTTGAAGACATCAGGCCAAATATCAAAAAAAAAAACCCACCCCAACAACAGAAAAAGCAGCATCCCACTGGGAATCAATCTTATGGCTCAGGTCTCTGCTGATGTACACAGGAACAGTTCCAGTGTTTTTACTTTGGTTACATCACTTCACTTCAGCAGAACTTAGGCCAGACTGATTAAATCCCTGATCAAAGTCCCTAGGTAAAAGCCAAAGAACTACTGCAATAGATCTGTATTCACCCAATGTACTTTCTCATACACTGAAAGCAAGAGGCTTGCTCCTCTCGCAAGTGAAAATTCATCCCTGAGAAGAAAAGGCTCCGCATTTGTGAATGTGATGCTTCTAATTCTTTAAATATTAAAAAGGAATTTATTTAGACATAAATATTCTAAGTAGGAGCCTTCTTACTAACACTTTACTTTGCTAAGTGCAAACAAACTGATGCCACAATTTAGAGAGGATCCTGATAACGCACCTACAGTTGCATGGGACTGCATATGCCTGTCTCTTGCAAGAGTTAGCAGGAAAGCAAGGACTTAGGAGAGGCAGACGGCAGCAAACTAAAGAAAAGCAAGAAAGTAGCAAATAGAAGTCACTGTTCTCAACAGTTATCCAGCAGTCAGACTTCAAAAGTTATTTCAAAATAAAACCTTGCTTCAACTTGTTTGATGTCTAAATTATTGTTTATGTAATCCAGCTCTAATGGTAGATAGGATGGGAGGCAGAAGACACTTTCTGATACAAGAATAGTGTATAATAACTAATCAGAAAAAGCTCTTTCTGGGAAAGCTGCAATTTAGCCTCAGTACAATAAAAAAAATCTACCATAAAAAGTGACATTTTGTTAAGGGAGAAACTATTATACACATCATTTATTATATATACATTATATACATCATTTAACCTTTCTCTAAATTAGATAAATAAGACAGGTTTTAGAAAGTACATTTTGTCTGAAACTTAAAGGCTGCAATTCCGCATACAATTATCACTGTAACATTCAGTTCCTGCTCTGCACTTCGGGACTCTCGCAGTCACGTCTGTAACATTATGTCAAAAACCACAAGGAATTCAGAAACGACACTGGTTACTCCTCCTTACACTATTACTGTTGTGGTTGCCTAAGCAGAAATGAAGCTGCAGCTCCCCGACGTTCAAACAGAGAGCACAGAAGAGTACAGCATTCCCACGGCCCACGGTCAAGCCTAGACTCTCTCTAGGCAAACATTAGCCAGAGCGACAGAAAGTTCTGCTTAAGGTTAGCAGTGACAAACCTATACTAGCGCAAAACTTAATGTCAGCTTGTTAATCCCTAAAATAATTGTAGGAACATATGGCTAAAGGACCTAGATTACTTCAGCAGTAATAAAACCAACAGCTTTTCTCTTGGGTAATATAAAATTTGCATTTTTTCACTGCCTCAAAGTAGATAAAGTAAAGTTGCAAATACCAATCTAAGCAATACACATTTACACCTGTTCTTCCTTAAATCAGTTCTTCCTCTCTACGTGCTTGAAGTATCAGATTCTGCAGCTTGGTAATGAATGTAAATACGTTACACCCAAATCAATCAATTTAAAAAAATAGTTCCATGGGCAGGAGGCACAGCATAAAAGCTGCAAGACAAACCAACAGCTACTGCACGGTCGGAAAGATCACAGATGTTATGGGCTTTTACCAGTAGCTGCGTCCACAAGCAAACACAAAGGAAACAGTTTTTCCACAGCACTGACCCAGGTTTTCTCTAGGTCTAATGAAAGAGGGAACAATGACACAGAAGCCCAATCCTAAACCACTGAAGACCACAGAAAGAAGTATTTTTATGCTAGGTTTCTTCTTTGGAGAAAGGAATATAACAAGTCTCCTGAACAGATTTCAAAAGCAAAGGAAATCTATGGCAAAGTGACAAAGGCAGGTGAACCACGGTCACTATTCAAATGCACAAAGTACAATTGATTTATTTTTTTTTATAGTTTCTTGCTGTAAGGTTTTGTAAAGAATTGCAAACAGGCAAGAGCAACAGGCTCCACAAACAAATGTGTGCTGCACAAAGGGATAAATGACGACTAATATAACTATTTCTACACTTCAAAATAACACTGTAAAGGCAACTACTAAAATTATTGGAATAAGATAAAAAGGCTCTTTTTCATAAACAGAAGAGCTGAAGCAAACTCCACTAAATTTCCTTTTGAAATCTTGAAGATTAATTCAAAACATCTCATGGGAAAAGAATGTAAAAGTAGCAACCAGAAAAAGAAGTTTAATTGGCTTTCCAAAAAAAAAAAATATACATGAAGTTACACACACAAACACAGATCATATTTACCTCTAAGAACTGTGCATTCACTTTAAAATCTGGAGGTGGAAGTCCTTGTTTAATAGCAGCTTGTTTTTTTTCTTCAATACATCTGAAAAGATGCTTAACAGCACGCGATATAATGCCTTGTTCCTCTTCTGTTATGTTGACATCAAATCCAGTGCCCATGGTGTATGTTTTGCCAGCCCCTGTCTAAATTGAAAAAGGAGTAGTCACTAGCACACATTAATAGTAGTGAAACATCACAGAGAAATGCAGTTTGTGAAAACTAGGTGCTAGATAGTGACTACTAAGTCTGTCATCTTTACAATTTAACATGCACATAAACAGGTCATTTTGAAAAATAGACAGACAGCAGAAATTGGACAAACTCTGTTTATCCACAGATCACACACAAGAAGGTAGGCATCAGATCAATCTTTCATAACCTTTCCCCTACAAACTTCCCCTAAGCTGCTTACATCAGCCTTGAGCCATCATGTCTGGAGGTCAAAAGAATAGTTAATGTTTCCAACTGAGACTGTTAATTAAAGCATATATTTTGGAGGTAGAAGCAGCATTTGCAATTCTTTACTGAAGTAGATCAAATGACTCCCTTAATTATGATGTCTGAATATCTCAGGTAGAATATTACCACTGTTCTTAATTTATAGACAGCACTGAAGAATACAGGCTGTACCTTCACTAGGAAAATAATTAAATGTGAAGTCCCACAGACGACAAGTTAGTGCTGTGTTTTTGCTTAATTAGTGGGTCAAGTCTAAGACAAAGATAGTAGCACACAGCTGAACATAATCTACTAAACTGGATCTGCAGATTGCTTTGTTTTTGCTAGGACAACTTCAGCTAGCTAACTTGAGAAATGACATTTAACAGTGGTGAAATTCATCATCCAAGACCAAGTTTTATGCAATCTATTCCTAAAGGAACATTCAGAAGACAGTAACACATTCTCTACATTGTGCTCAATGATATTTCAGCTTTGAGAAGTAAAATGTGTGCCCAGTGTACTGAGAGGGTGCGTTCTCTATGAAAAGTTCTCTGACTTTGGAATCTGATCTCCACATTTTGCCCACAAACAAACAGTGTGGCCTGAAGTTCCCTAGGATCTATTTTTAAAAAAAGCTTCTCTTCCCAAAAGTGTCTGAAAATGCAGAGGGATGGATAATTGTTCAGAAAAGAATCTCGGTACAATCTATCTCTATGTATCAACTGATGAAGTCACTAATTTGTACTGCTGCACTGAGGTGAATTCAGGAATTATATGGACTTGTGCTATTTTCAGCATTACTATTAATTCAGACTTACTGCCTATATATACATATCTTCTGTGTTTCAATTGCCATTCTGCACAGAATCTATACTAACTCCTAAACAGTCTCCTATAAGATACCTTGTTTAAAATAAAACCACAGTGCTAAAGAACAGATTCATGCATTCTAAAATTTAAGACAAAGATCAGCTTCAAGAAACTGTTTATTCCAAAATAGATGCTTTAAAATAAAATTGTAAAGCTTACTTGGCCATAAGCAAAGACAGTGGCATTATAGCCTTCAAAGCAACCTTCAATCAGTTTTTCTATACACTGTATATAAATCTCTTCTTGCTGCGAGTCGATGTTAAAGACATAATCAAAAGTGAAGGCCTTGTCTTTTCCCAAGAACACTTGAGGTTCACCAGGTGTGACAGATGTACAAATATGGCATCCTTCAATCTTCTCTTTGGCTAGCTGTGGTCTAATTCTGTTTTGGGAGAGACAAAAAGAACTATTAGAAATTCTCATCATCAGAAAGAGCAGTATATAAACAATGTAAGAAAAAGATTTGAAAATAATTCCTTACTGACTGAAAACCAAGAATTTTTCATCAAGCCAGGAAGCTTCCAGCTATCTGAGCCACAGTACTGACTGTATCAGAGCCCCACTGATACAACTGTTCATGCAGATGATGTTATCTTCCCTGAAGGTTCACCTGCCAACTTCAAGTTGGCGACCTGCCTAGAACCCTGAATGTTTCTGTACGCGTACTATGCTTTACTAAAGAGTAACTTGCATGAGTCATTTCAGACTTTGAAATCAAGCTTTCCCGTTTTATCAGACTTCTTCATGCTTTCATTGTAAAAAATTGATTTTTTTTTTTTTTTTTTTTTAACTAGCAAGAGAAATCTGGAAAAAATGCAGGATAGTTTAAGTAGTAATTTGGGAGCAAGGACCCCCAAAGCCTACATATCATCTTAAATGGAAACCTCCTTGCTACGAAAGCAAGGAGAAGGTTCACGTTTCTTCTTTTCCTTTCACAGGAAAGGAGCTTTGTCACAGACAGAACACTTCTGCGAAACGTTTACTTTCGGTGAAGCAGTATACCTTCAAAGGAAAGAAAAAGAACAATATCTAACAAGCTGTAGAGATGAGAGTGTCTCATTCCTCATTATTTCTCCATTGAGACAAATTCCAGCTTTTATTTCAGTTTGTTCAGTTTATGACAAACTACTTTGTAGAATACAGCTACCTCAGACTTCTTATATTCTATCATTTTATTAATTCCGTTGCATTCTTAATATTCTTGCAGTCTGCTCAAAATTGAATTCATGTACTGGTTCTGTGACTAAAGAAGATTATGGAAGTTTGTAATTCAATTGGTTTAATGGTTAACTATCAGGAAGAAAAACTCCAGCCAACATCATGTATTATTCTAGCTGTAATCAACTAATAGTTTGTTTACAAAATTACCTTTTTTATGAGTGTTTTCAAGCTCTCAAAGCAGCACCAAATTAAAAAACACATACATGTGCAGCTTAAAAGACAGAGGATAAATAAGGCTATATATAAGGATGATAAAACATCAGCAGCACAGCTACGTACAAAGTCATGTAATATTTTATATGGATTTTCCATTTGTATCAAACTTTAAGTACCTATATTTACCTCAGTGTGGCTATTTTCAGTCACACAATGACAAAGTTGAAGTCTTGTATAGACAGAGTATACTTCAAAGGCACATGCTCATTTCATACTCCGTGCTTTAACAGTCATGTCTACATTGGTGTTTGGTTTGGAGTAGCTGTGCTGTCTTGAAGCAAATTCCCCTGACATCTTCGCTTAACACATTGGTTTGGATCACAGAGCAGTTTCAGCATGCACAAATTATACCTCTTTTGGAGGAAACTAAGCCAAAACACTCCACTCCAAATACACTCTAATGGAAACATAAGGACCCAAAGCTACCTACGGATCTATCGTGATCGTGCCAATGCCTGCTGATGCAGAGTTAGTCTCCAACAACTGAGTGGACTGCTGCAGACCAATTCAAATTATATCAGCACACATATACTCTAGTTCAAGTTAGAAATACCCTATAGAAAAAAAAAATCAGACCATGATATATCTTCTTTTTATTGCAGATTACAAATTTTTCACCCAGGGATGTGCATTGCTGTCAGAAGTATTTTTCAGAATACTTATTCTGAAGTTTTCATTACATCCCACTGTGTGATGCTAGACAATGACCATAATTTATTTGTAAGGTTTTCTGCATATTAGTCCCTTGATGCAAAGTTCATTAATGATTAGGCGGTACCTCCCTTGTCAGCATCATACCCTCTAGTGTGGAGTGGAAATTAAGCAAACCTTTGAAAAAACATAATTAAGGGAAAGATTATATCTTGTGTAAAATAGGCATAAATATTCTACAAATAGTATTTGCATTTAAGGACACTGAGTGTGTAATATAGGTCACAGATTTTTCTCTCTAACAATACAATCATTATCATAAGTTTCTTTCTTTTAAATGAAATAAAGATGCTAAAAGTAATTCAGGATTTACATATCTCCTTCACTAACAACTAACTTGATCCACTACACCTGTGTCCACTGAACACAAAAACCTGACAAACATGTACAGAAGTTCATAAAGTTACTTTCTTCTAAATTAATTAACTTTTTGTAATAAAATAGCTTTTATTTCTAGGCAGAGAAAGTCAAAGAGAAATTAATCGTATGCCTTTCCTAAAAGCATTCTACACAACTGGAAAGCTGAGCAAATAAAACGTTGTAGCATGCTATCTATAACACTTAGTATTTAGAAAATGCCAACTCGCTAGTTTATTCTACTGCCTTATTTTAATGCCATGAAGTCAGTCGAAGGGCAAGCCTCCTTTTCAGGTTAAGCACTCTTCTTTCACTAATACAGCAGACACCACACAGGCAATAATTTGTTCTTACAAGCATGAATTCTGAGGGCTTCTAAAGCTCCAGAGGTACTTCTCCCATTATTTTCTAGTACAAGAAAGGCTAGAAAGACTTCTTCTAAAAATCGAGATAGAAAATACATTTTCAAAATCAAGTAACCTTTTCTGCATCCCAAAAGTCTGACTTCTCCCCAGTTCTGAAAGGCTTTTAGCACTGACTTGTAGAATGAAGGTTGACAACTTAAAAAGTTTTTCTTCAGGTATTTTCATTCTTTTAAAAAAAAAAAAAAACAACAAACAAATGTTCAAAATTAATTTTAAACACTGAGGAACTGATGCAATTATGACAGGTGCTGAATAATTTTCTCCTTTCTACTATTAAGTAAAGGTTCAGAGAGACCACAAAGAGGAACAGCATGCCTAAAATACCGATGATCTGTATAATTATTACAGCGATGACAGGACTGTAAAGGGAGCAGTTTCGATGTCGTCCTGCAGAGACTTCCCATGAGAAGCCTCCCAGCCTTGCAGCCCAGCAGCAGCTCTGAGCGCTCTGCTGCTCTGAAACCCAGCACAACAGCAAGCTGCAAGTGCATTACGGGTGACCATCATCAGGCCACAGCAAGATACCATTCCAGACACCAGATTTCTATCAGCTCAGCTGTGTCACTACTAGCAACTTGTTACCGGCTCAAGCACTTACCCTTGTAAGCTTGTAACACAACATCCAGAGACCCAGCAGCAATGATGGTGTCCTTCCTCCCTAACTTACCACTGAATCTGAAGGCAGTGCTAAGAGAAAAAGTAGCATTTCACCAGCACGTATGCAGCACAAAGGAAAAACAAAGCAAGACTCGCCATATCTGGAAAGCTTCACTCCAAAGACAGACTCTCTTCTCATTTTGTAATTGCTCTTAGACAATGTCCCACTCTGCCACAGAGCTGGGACGTAGCAACCAGGGAGAGATCACAGCTGTGTCAGGTTTGAAAGACATCTTCCCCAAAAAATGATGTGCAGACAAGAGATCTTCATCACCCAACCTGAGTTATGCTCAAGGGATACTTCATGCTCTGAAATCTATATAGCTGTCTTGATAAGTTTAGGATAAAGCTAATGTGATGACCTTAATGAGTAAGCAAATACCTTCAACCTGATTTCTGGCCACTTATGAACACCAAGTGGATTACCTGAACCTCGTGGCTCTCAGTCTTACAATTTGCACTGAAAGTGCGGTTTGGCAAGTAACAGTCCTCAAGCAAGTCAGATTCTGCTCCAGCACCAGCCCTTGGAACATCTCCTTCTCCTCCACATCGGTTGGGAAACTGATTTTTCCTTCTGCTTATAGCCAAACCTTTCCCAGTCTCATGTCTTAATGTGGTCATTTCTGCCAGCAAAAGCAGGCAGCACCCATGCTTTAAAATGTGACAGAGTTCATTTTGAGCACCTCTCTTTGCCCAGTTCCCAGCCTGGCAGTGTGCCACTGGGATTTTTCTCCAGGACCAATTTGACTTCACCCATTTTGTCTTCTACTTGGCCTCATCTTGCCTGTTTTTCAGGCTACTTTCTTAATTGTGTACAATCAAGTGTTTTCTACCTATTTCCAATCACATCTCCTTAGATGTGGCAACCGCCCAAACAACATTTTGCCTTGCATCCTTCCCTCTCCTCCTCTCCAAAGCACGAACACACCCAACTCTTGTTTACGTGTACTTTGCAGAGCCTCCAGGCCACACGCATGAAACGTAATCCCCTAAATCTATTCTGCCTCAGCACACAAGGACAAGCTGTCTAATTAGAGAGGGTTAAAATAGCCAGTGGTGGCACACCAATGCACTGTACCATACTGGAACTAATCTCGCAGTAGAATAGGTGCACAATGTCTCTGCTAAAAATATTGTCAGCTAGAACAGACTCGGATAATACAGTTCAGGGACTACAGCAATCATTGGATCAATACCCTGCGTTATGCAAGACAGACTACTCAGAACTGATTCCTGTTTAAACTAGAAAAATATCATAATATTCCTTTGAAAAAGCATCTTGTCTTAGTTTATTTCTAGGGACAGAGAATTGTCCTAGTGATTTAAATATGTATTATTTTTATATATATGGATATAGACAGATATCACACAGACGCACATCCCTTTTCAGCTACTGCACAATTTTATCTCTGTGCCTGTTCATTTAAGAACCTCCCCATTATCAGCCATCCCTTAATCTTCTTTCATATACTAAACTAAACAACACCAGTGAATTTTTTATTTTGCATCTCCATGTGAAGTATTGCAAATATTACTCTAGAAAATGGTAATTATCCCAACATTTACCATATACTTTCTCAGCACCTGTACAGAATAGCAAACAAGAACTTCTAAGAGTGACCTATAAAGGACAAATCATCAAATTATTCTTGTTTTACAGAAAGAAAAAGGGGGAGGGGGGGCAGGGAGAAATCACAGATTAATTTTTCAGATAGCAATAACTAGCCAGAAGCTGTGCGTTAGAAAGAAAAGATGACAATGAAGTCCCATGTAAAGTTCTTTTCTGCTGTTGGGAAAGGACTGCTTTCACCTTGCTCAGAAAAGCATAAATTCAAACATTTATCAAACCACGGGCAGTGGTGAGCAGGAAACAAGTTAACCTGTAAACCTGACTCTCCAATACTGTTCTCTTACTACACTAAGCCTATTGAATTTCTCACAATTAAGTTCTACATATGTGTATATGAAATATTAAATCCAAGAGCACCTAATAAAACATTTAATGAAGTGTAGCAGGCAATACAAAACTTGGAAACAAAAAGCTCTCCTAAACCAGAAAAAGAAAACAGCTTCCTGCCCTTACTTTGGCATCACGATTCCCTCTCCTTTCTATTCCATTACATTTATGCTCAAACAACTCCCATTAAACATACTCCTTCACAACAAGGAGGGAGTAAAGAAAGCTAAATAGATGGCATCCCAAAGACACCTGATAGTTCCGCTTGCATAAACGTTTCAGTACTATTGCTAGCACACATTAGAAGCCTGCTTGCTTCTATGATTATCAGCACCTGCAAATAAGATCACAACTATAGCATCTGAATGCACTCGTCTGAAGTAGCTGATCGATATATTAATTCTTTACCCCTCAATGACGTTTAAGGATATGAAAAAGGCTGGCATATGACAAATGCCAGGTCTACCTCTTGTTAACACAGTAATAAAGACACAGCAACAAACCTTTCTGCTTGTGCCAAAAACCATCACCCGTTACGGGGTTCTGCTCTGTTGCCAGCACATCTTGACGCAATGGCCCATGCTCCTCCACTGCCTGTGGTGCTAAATAACATTGGCAGGTAGAAAAATGCTCATATTTGGTGAGTTACCATTCAGTATCTTTAGTATGGATGTAGTTCTGTAATGTCCTTCTCAACATTTCCAAAGAGGTTTTTGATGGCCAGTGACACAAGTATGAAAAGTCTGAGAACTGTTTTAATATGCTTTTACCCTGCTTTTTTCCTCCAGAAACACAGGCACATACCCATAGTTCATAAAAGGTGTAAAAGTACTACAAGTCAATACCTCAACTTCCAGCCCAACTCCTTTTGAAGAAACATCACAATGACTTTTTTTTTT